TTTTCCGTGCAAAACCCACCCCCTGCTTGACTCTCCGGGGGCTCTTATCACAGCAGTTTTACTCTGACACACTTCGAAGGGAACACAGCAAACGGGAACACACGCAAAAAACGAAAAAGCTGCCCACTTTAGTTTATTCTGCAACAAGTCCTCAAATTAAGTCATGTCAGGTAACGTATTTTCCTTGGCACCTAATCCCTATTCACAACTAAAAACTTACGACAATTAAAAAATGCACACTGTCCCCCTCCACCACTCTCCACATGGGCAAATTAAACAAAAATTTCAACCCCTTTTGAATTTTTCCTTCCTTGACGCGGGGAGTCTTTTGGCTACTTTCCTTTCCATTGGGCGTTGAAGAAATCATGCCCCCAAATTGGGGATTCTCCGACCCCTCCCTTTTCCACCTCCACGGGGATGCCCTTTAAATGTTTCCCTTAGGGCTTTCAGCCGAAAGACGGGTTAACTTGACCAAAACCCTGTAAATCGGAAACAAAATTCAAACGGGGACTCGCCCCGAAGAGATATAAGTCCCTTATTCGATTTTGGGCCTTTACGAAAAATTTTTATTATTCTCCCTTTTTAGCTGCTTTTTTAACCCATTTTTAAATTTTCACAAATTAGAAAAATTTGAAAGGATTTTTTTTGAGGTTTCTTAAAACCCCGTTTTACCCCCTTTCCCCCCGGGATACAAAAACTACTTCTTCCCAAACCCTTTTAGAAAGTTTGGGGGTTTCCACCCAAATTTGGCCTAAAAAAATATTGTTTTTAAATTTTCCCAAAATTTTATTTTTAGTCCCAAATTTTGATTTTGCCCAAACTCCAAAAATTTTTTTGGGCGAATTTTGGGCCAGGGGAAACCCCTTTTGACCAATCGACCCAACGCCTCAACAAAAATTTAAATTTCTGAGTCGGGTTTGGTTCAAAAGGAGAAACCCTTAAACATCATAAAGGGGCCGGATGATATGGGGAACAGAAAAACAAAACCCCAAAAATCGGGGTCTCGCCGTGGGATTGTTTGTAAAACCACTGTTCAATCTTTAAAGTTGCGGGTGTCTTGGCCAGGAGTTTTTTCCCTTTTTATATTTTGTTAACACGTTTTGACCAATTCTGGGTCATTTCTTAGAAATGTACTCCTAGGATTGATTTGTAATAAATTGGGGGGTTTTTGGGGTTTTCCCCGAAACATTGGGGGTTATCCCACCCTTTGGGGGGGTTTAATTAATCTTTGTTGATTATTTTTTACTTTGTTGGTGAATTTTTTGGGGGGGTGACTGTTTAGTTTGACAAGAAAATTTGACCAGGTGGAGGGAAATGTCTGGATACTCCTCTTCTTTTGAAGATTTACAGGAGATGGTCCTAACGGAACAACTCCGAGAGACATTACCTCGCCCTATGCAAACCTTCCTGACGGAGAATGGTGCTGACAGACTGAGTGAGATGTTGATGTATGCTGAGAGGTATGAGATGGCACATAAAGAGGTGTGTATAGGTGGGAAACCCAAGCCCAGGGTCAAGGGAAAAATAATGGTAATGGTCATAAAACCCATCCAAATGAATCCCCTAAAAAGAATACATCCCAAGCACAACCCCAGAACCCCTCAAAAGTTCAGGGAACACAACATAGACAACCCTTTAATGGGCCTAAAAAGCCTTACTGTCATATTTGTAAGAATAATAACCACTGGACTAAGGAATGTAAATCCAAACAGTCAGGGGGTTTACAAGTATCAGCTTTGTTGTCTACTGTAGTACCTTCTACCCAGGAAAAGTTGTACAATGGTTCCAATAGGCCACCTGTGGTAGAGAGGGTCTGGGCTAATGGATATTCTTTAAATTGTCTGTATGATAGTGGTTTGTCATACGGCTGTGTGGTGAGGCCAGAGTTTGTAAAACCTGATCAGTATACTGGCAGATTCATAGAGCTCCAATGTGCCACATTGGATGCTAAACCTTTAAACTTGCCGATTGCTAAGATTAGGGTCCGTTCAAAGTATGTCTCGGGGATAATTGAGGCTGCAGTGCTTGAACACTGTACCTTTGATTTAATTCTTGGCGCTACTTATGTATTTTTAGCAGAGCCGAAGAAACCTTCAGAGCATCTTGCTGCGGTAACCACCCGAGCACAGCATAAGAGTGCCTTAGAGGATTCTCCTCATGTAAATCCTCTTCCTGGGGAAATTAAGGTGGCCCAAAGTAGTGACCCAACTCTTAAGGCATGTTTTAAAAAGTTAACTGCAAGTCACAATCCCCCTTTGAAGAAAGAATTCTTCATGAAAGGTAAGTTACTTTACAGATGGGCAGGTGACAAGTATACAGAGCACAGTCAGCTTGTAGTACCCAAAACATATAGACAGCAGATTCTCCAGATGGGGCACACTATAGCCTATAGTGCCCATATGGGAATTCATGCAACGACACAACGCATTGCCTGTCATTACTTTTGGCCAGGTATGTCAGCAGATATCATGCGTTATGTCAAATCCTGTCCGGGGTGCCAGAAGGTAGCTCCCAAAGGCAGGAATGCACCAGTCGGACTGGGGGAAACCCCTGTCACCTCCACACCTTTTGAAAGGGTGGCGGTCGATTTGGTGGGACCACTTCCTCTCACAAAGAAGAAAAATGCTTACATATTGACCTTGGTCGACTGTTGTTCAGGGTATCCGGAGGCTATTGCACTTCGGAGGATTGACAGTAAGACTGTGGCAGAGGCATTGATGAGCATTTTCACAAGAGTGGGATTCCCTTCGCAGATACTGACAGACAATGGATCTCAGTTTAAAGGGAAACTAATGGAGGAGGTGTTTCAGATAATCAAGTCTCAACACACTTGCACCAGTCCATACCGACCCCAAGCGAACGGCCAGAATGAGCGGTTCAATGGAACGTTGGTATCGCTTCTGAGAAGATTAACCAAGGAAAAGCCAGAGAGGTGGGACGAGTATCTGTCTGCAGCACTATTCGCCTACCGGGAAGTACCCAATGCCTCTACTGGATTTCCACCTGCGACCTTGGTGTTCGGAAGACACATTTCTGGACCCTTGGCTATTCTCAGGAAGACATGGACAGACGAAGGGGCAGATGATTCCTTGAAAACCATATCACAGTATGTGCAGGAACTCAAGGAAAGGTTAAAGCTAGGGTGGGACCTGGCTAAAGAGAACTTGATTCGTGCACGTAAGAGGTACGCTGCACATTTCAACCGGAAGACGAAGGAACGATGTCTTGAGGTTGGAGATAGGGTTCTTTTGCTGCTACCATCAGGGAAGTCTAAGTTAGAGTTAGCTTGGGGAGGCCCTTATACGGTGGTAGAAAAGATATCCAGGATCCATTATAAGATCAACATTAAAGGTAAGTCAAAGGTCTATCACATTAATCTCCTCCGGAAATACAACGAGAGAGAGGTAAGTGACACACCGACCCTCTTGACACTTTCTGTAGCTATGGAGGTGGAAGGTGGAGAGGCCACAGCTGTGGAATATCCTCTTCACCCCAGGGAGACCTATAAAGATGTAGAGGTTAACCCAACTCTCTCTGTCTCTTAGAAACAAGCTATAGAGCAACTCTTGTCAGAGTGTAACTCTGTCCTGAGAGTGAAGCCAGGGCACACTTCATTAAATGAGTGTTTTATGACATTGGTTACTGTTGAGCCTTTTCGTCAATGCCCTGTGCAAGCTCCTCTTTTTAAAGAGGAATGGAGACAACCTCCAGACCATCAGGAGGACCAGAAGGTGGAGAATTTTCAATTCACACCAAGGTTCCTTCCTGTGTTTGTTGGAGCACATAGTGACGAGGGGAGGATAATCCTTCCAAACCTCGCGAAGGATCAGACGGGAGGGATTATATCCCACATGCCTCGACGACCTTCCTGTGTGGCTACTGATGTAGGAGACACACCGGTATATTACCTGAATATGACAGGAATACTAGGATGGTGTGTAGGTTTATTCAGCCAACCCGATCGGAGGGTTCGGTCTGAACCTACATCTTTGCATGTACCTGACAGGGTTCAGTGATACATGGATGGAATCATCAGAGTCTTAGGTCCTCAGGGACATCTACTGATTCTTTATAGATTCCTTTTTGATTAGTGTTGTATAGTGGTCATAGGTTTCTCTATTTTCACATGGATTGTCATTATTGTATATATTTCATCTGTCTCTGGGAGGTTGGTTTGGTCAACCCTTTGATTCAGAGCAGATTTCTTGAGCCGCCATCCCTTGTCTGATAATTCACAGACTGAAGGTGATGAGCAAGCTGAAAGTAGTGAGTCCATAGATGTGTAGATGGCTGATCATTGTTCTTTCGCGTAGTACGCTCTTCCCTTGGGGGGGGGGGGGGGTACTGTTGTGGAATGATAAGCCATTATGCATCAGTCCGTAAGACTGGTAACTTGACCTACCTGTAATTGGCACAAAATTCAAACTTGGACTCGTCCGGAAAGATATAGTCCCTTATATCTATATATATATGCCTTTATTGGACAACATTATTATGTCTACATTTTCTAGTTGCTTTGACTAAACTCCACTTTTAAATGTATATATATTGGATAAATATTAGAGGAGTTATTTGAGGTTTCTTAGAAACCGATTTACTCCTTGCCCATGTATACTAGGAACTCCTTTTTTTTACCAACGCTTGAAGTGAGTAATTGGCGGCATTCTCTCTTGCCGGCTTCCAAGCGTCCAGACGTGTCAATCGATGCCTGTATAATTCATTTGAAAAAGGCGATCTGGAATGTCTCGGACTTTTCATATGCTTGGGATGAATCCTTTGTGAGGAGCTGGCAGAAGTTTCACAGTCCAACCAACACCCACCAACCATAACCCAATTATCAACCAACTACCCACCAGATAACACCTGTGAAGGTTTCTGACATCATCACTATGTGGGGGCATATATCCCAAACAGCCTACCAGTGCTAGAGCTTGGTGTAGCTCAAAGACAGTGTTGTGACCTGACTGGTGGGAGAGATTTGCTGAGTACCAGTACAGTTGCTGTGTCCTCTATGGTGAGGTATTCTTTCACTACCTGATCCAGTTGAGCAGAATTACCAGAGTCCAAGTCAGTCGAATCATCAGGAGCTGAGGGAAGCATCATAGACGAAAAGAGGAGAAGCTAAGTTTGATGCCTTTTGTGCTTTATTCCTCACAGCTCCTATGTTTCCCAAGGATGATAAGGTGTCATCTCCAGGACCTTCTGTCTGTGTAGTATCTTTGTGATTTGGACAATATATCCTGAGATCTATCCACGGAGACCTGCTATCTGTTTCACTATTATATGTATATGTCATATTGATTACATGCATTCATTTTCATGGCTGACTTAGGTGTCTCTATTTCACCTTTTTAAGTGTTTAGCAGTTGTGTGTGTATGTATCTTCATTATATGTGTTAACATGGTTATGATAATGAACTATCATAACCTGGGGGCTTTCTTTAGTAAGTAGTGGGGGTGTCCAGCCAAGTGTGCCTAGGAATATTGTATTCATACACAGATATATTTTGTAGTGCCAATACTTGAGTTGCCCTACTCCAGAAATAAGTTGAGCGTATATTGGCCACGGGGAATCCCTTAGACCAATACGAGCCAAACGACTCAACATAATTATTTCTGTGTGCTGTTGGTTCTGAAGGAGAAATCCTTACATCAGGCACGTGACAGGAGTGATATGTGACATAAGGGTCCTAAGAGAGGGAGTAAACAGTGCAAATAACGAGGAGGGACCTGGGAATCTCACTGACGCTCAACACTCTGGCCAGGTGCGAGATGAACATACGTATCAGATTATTATGGTATCCTCGGAATTGAAACTCTGAGCTTGCTGCTTAAGATGGAGACGGAGCGCTTATGGAAATGTCCTTAACATTATGACGATGATTCTTCAATCATAACCCCTATTTAGCCGCTTTTTACGACATGCCTATAGGGGTAGGAGGTGGACAGTGGGTCTATTCCTCGCACTTCCAAAAGGGAGCCCCTATCCCCAATGCCACAAGGGTAATTCATGAACTGAACGACTGAGTATGAATAACCCATGATCTTTGGTGTGCAGCATAGTCTATCAACGTTGCCGCCAAAACTCCTAGATATCCATAGTGACGTTATAGCATCACATACTTACATTTAAGATGGAGAGGATGGACTTCAGTGTACATGGGTATAAACAGTATAAGAGTAGCTTTATCTGTCTCTGCAAAACAGCTAGCCACATATCGAGAACGTCTCGCAAAGCGCGAACTCCGTAGCTTCGGCGATGATCCATGGAAATCTTAAAAATGTACTTGTGAACAGAACTGGGTGTTTGTAAACCGAACCATCTTTAATAGGTCAGCCAAAGGGTCTGACCAATAAATTAAAGAAATGAGAAGTTAAAGTATTACTAGAAACTTCTATATAACTGCAGTCACTGACTATGTTGTTCACGATCTTCTGTAGCTTGTGGTTGGCGACTATGGTCTGAGCTACTACCAGCAGAAAGCCCAGTTTGGAATGTGGGCCTTGTTTGCCTCTCCCTTGATGATGTCATTGGACCTCCGTTCTGTGGATCCTGCAGCCAAACAACTGCTTCTAAACAAAAACATCATTGCCATCAACCAAGATCCGCTGGGCAACCAGGCTGTTCGACTTTTCAAGGTAAAGTTGGGAACAAATAACATGTTTCTGCGGTTTTTATAGAGGTTACTGTACCTTCATGACATGACAACAGTCTGGTTTCAATGACCAGGAGTGGGGGATTTGTTCTGACTCCTGCGGCTCGGGGTCCACTTAGCCTCATGGAAATGGCTAGTATGGATATCGTGTGCGAAGGAAAGGCGATGAAGAAGAGAACTGGCCACCCTCAGCTCATATGTTGCAACATAGAGCTCAGGAAGGTCCAACACTTCCCACCTCAATGGCATAGCCTGCTTCTGTAGGCGAAATGGAGGTCTAGCCCGACATTGTGTTAACGAAGCTCTGCTGCACGGTGTTGGATGTGGAATTGTGTGGGCAATGAATACCTACGACGGAATTAGTCTAATGGTGCATATTGAAGGAAGCTTGAATGCGCAACGAAACGTCAGTGAAATGTTTCAACCACACGTCCTTCCATTTTGAGATGTCAACAGAAATCTTTTTTCAACAGGACAACGCCAGACCCCATTCTGCACGGTTGACCACGCAGTTCTTGGCTGCCATTGACATTCACACCCTTTCCTAGTGATCCCTGTCTGCAGACATGAGTCCAACTGAGCACCTGTGGAATGAGCTGCAAAGACGTGTTTGTCGCCAAAACGTTGCTCCATCTAATGGTCGTAATCTGTTCCAGGCACTCCAGGAAGAGTGAGTAGCCATCACACAAGCCCACATCTGATCGCATCCATGTACAGGAGATGCCAGTCACTGATCCACGCACGAGGAGGCCACACACCATACCAACTGGAAAGGCCGTACGCCTAGAAGTTATCGTGACACGGATGCAAACAAAATAAAAAAACGTGTCAATTTATTGGTGGCACCATAAGGTATTCTTGGGTGACATTTTAGTAATTTTACTTATTGAATTATAAAGATGCAGAATGTCAAAATTGTATTTACCTTTCAGCAGCTATATGCTGCTTTTTGTGTGTGGACAGTATACTATCAACACTGGTAATTAGAAGTAAAGTATTACTGACAATCTAATCTAATTTTCTATGCATAGTTGGTACAATAGGTGGTGCCTGCTGTCTTGGCTGTTTCCAGTTCCTGTAGACCTGCTCAACTGCGCCTGCATTTAATATCAGAAGTTTGGAACATCCTGAAAATTTCAGTTTGTTATTGGAATTCTGCTACTAGTGTCAAAATGAGACCCTTACTACAACCAACGAGCGCAAAATATAACAACAGAGATGAGATGTCTTTGAAGAGCTGCTAGTGTAACAAGAAGAGATAAATATGAAGAAATTATAAGAAGAATGGACCCAGAACCACTTACAGTTTATTAAAGAGCACAGCAGCCCTCCAGTGCCTAGAGAACAAGATGAATACACATGAAACAGACTCCGAAAGCATGCTGAGAAAGGTGACAACAGGAATGGTTCCAGTAGAGTGGCAAGCTTTACTTGGAAGGTCACGAGTAGTGAGCACACTTTGGATCTTTTCTCCAAGGATGCCGACGTGGTGGGGAATGAACTGGGGAATGATTGGCTGGATCTGCACCACTGGGTGGTAAATCGATACATGGAAATGCAGATGTGGTCAAGGTCCTTTTGGAACAAGTAACGCAGTCAGAAGAAAATCTAGATTATTATGGCATGGAGAGAATGATGCACCTGGGTATGAACAGAGGGTCTGGCCAGTTCACTACACTCAGTGGTGAGGCAAGACGGACATATCACCAGACTATGACTGGTACCAACTGAAACTTTGTGCTGGCTGCTGAATATGGGGATGGAGGGTGTATGGGAATGGCCCAAGTACTGTGATGTCAATTCTTGACTCAACGCAGCTAAAGAGCAGCAGATGAGATGGTGTGGCCATATGACGATAGTGCCATTATCATAGGTATATTACTAATGCACTGGTGCCAGCTGCCACAGCGAGCCATGCTGAAGAAATACAATGTTTGCAGAGCAAGGAGAAGGCCTCAAAGAAGTCAGAACGATGGCATTAGTAACACTAACAGCCGTAACACAATGAAGACCAACTTATACAATAAATTGAAAGCACAAAGATCCTCGCATCTTTCCCCAAAGCTTTATGAAATAACTGGAGGAAATAAAGAAGAAGCAGAAAAAGAAGGGGTGGGTTTTGTTGATTCTTTTTCTTCTGCTATGTACTTATCATTCTATATTTCTGTTTGTGCCTATGTTTTGTCTTTCATATTGCTTGATTACCTAAAAATTAGCACATTGAATGATGATTTGAGGGCTGCAACTTTAATCCTTGTCATTAAGAAAGGTGTTTTCACTTCAATATAAACTAATGGTTATGACTCTATGTTCAAATGTTATACAGATATGGTACTCATTTGCAAGACTTTTTTTAAACCATTGTTAGTGTATCCTGAAATTGTGGCACCTGTATCTCTTTCAACAGTTGCTATTTTTCAGTTGACACAACCTGTGATAATGTTTGGCGAACTGACTATGTTTGTTTCTACTCGTGCTGTTTTCATCAACATCATATGGCCTTTCTCATGGAACTGTGTGCATTCTTGTTTACATATCCTTTGATCGCATTTGTTGGACATACAGAGAGTGTTTACTGTTGCTTCACATTCTGACTGAGCTCTGTGTGTCGTATGCCAATGTGCTTCATGCCACTCAAAACACTTTAGAAACAGTGCTTTGGTCTAGAATATCTTACAGTTTGCAATGACTTACTGGTCCATCGGCTGGATCAAGAGGAGTCACCCTAATTTCTTCCTACCAAATATGTCTGTTCACAATTGGCTGTTTGAGAACTGAGGTTCTATTCAGAAACCAAGACAATTTTACACCCCAAATATTTCATGAAAAACAGAATTGTTTCAAAAGAGAGTTGTTCGAAAACCGAGGTTCTATTATATATCACTTTGTGCAATGTCTGACTGACTGACTTTCTACCCCACCAGGACATCACACAAGCGATAAACACCCGATGACACAGAGTGCCACCATGTGGGTGAGGATCACCGTGGAGAGGTCTCAGAAACCGCGTTCAGCCTTTAGGCCATATTTATGGCCAGGCTATATTGCGGCCCCTGGCAAAAGCCAGAATAGGGCTTCAAATAACGAAAAATTGATTCTTCTCTTTTTATTTGATTTGTTAGGTTGGTTGTTTGTTTGGTTCTGTTTGAGAAATATACATACTGCATTTGGGAAGAAGATATAACTTCGTCTCACAAGATTACATTTTTAATAGACCAAAAATACCATTTACTTGTGCTACTTCCAACGTTCTGGAGCCCAATCAGAACTCTGAATGCCAAGTATTGTGTTGAGCTTTGAAATGTCATCTTCTGACAGTGTACTTGGCCAGTGACATTTTATGATCCTTGAGATCAAACATACATCTATGTTATTTCATGTCAAACCAGCCAGTTGTATTCAGTCACTATTAGTTTATGCTAAGTATGGCTGTTTTCCCCATCCATTTCTATGTAGTTTAGTATATGGAAATCCATCAATTGACTCTAAATGATAATCATTACAATAGGCAGTTTAACTTTATAACCACACTGTCCTTAGATAAAATCGATTGCTACCACTTGGTCTCTGTCACCATTTGTTATTGTTCATTCTAAAGATCTGTTTATACTTCAGTAATATTCAACATTTGTCTTCTTTAGGTTTCCACATTCATAACAGTTTGGATCAAGAAACTTGCCAGAAAAGGAGCTTTTGCTATTGGTGTGTTAAATCGAGGCAGCCAGGGAACACCATATAAGACATCACTGTCTGATTTAGGTCTTAGAAACAAACACGGTTATCAGCTTTGGGAAGCTTTTGAGAACAAAACCATTGGGTCTTTTTCCTTGACTAAGGAGTTTGTGGTCAACATTGAGCCTACAAGTATTTATATCATCATTGCTATTCCCAAATAAACTCAGTATTGCTAGCTGTGAGACAGATGTGAAATGTGTTACACTGAAACACAAGCTGGTTGCAGAAAAAGGGGTCTAATCAGACAGTGCAATTTTTTTTTTTTGGGTAAATTTAAAAAAAAAGGAGAAAAAAAAAGGTTTCCTGGCATTAAGAAAACAATCTAGCACCTAACTTCATAATTTGTTTCTATAAATAATTTATGGTGTAGCCAGTGACAATAAAAAAAAATGTATCTGGTGATAGAAGATTAATAGAAAATAGAATGTCATACACACAGAAGTTAGGGCAAGCCTTATTTATCAATTTATCAGTAATACCTATGTACAAATTAGACAATAATGCTTACATGAGTATTAAAAACCTTTTGAAACAAAACACATAAACTCCCAAAACAATTACAGTTACAGATTATTGTGAATGTTTATGCTGCAAGTATTGGTACTGTGAAAGCTTGTTTAAAAAAAAAAGGGATCCGATGTGTGGTGTCTTATGAACAAGGAAGATTATAGCAGATATGCCTTTTACAAATGGTCTCACTTCTGAGTTGTGGAATACAAGTAAATCATGTGGGTGGTGTCAGTGGTCATTAGATTTAGAAGCAGAGCCATCTGGTAAGATGATGATTACTGTAACAAGAAGTACATGGGTGAGAGACTGCGTGAAAAGTTGGTACTACATACCATAATGGTCAGTGACCATGTCAGTAGCATGAATATCCATACTGGTTCTTGAATAACTTCTCATATGTGAAGTTGTTTTACACACAAATTGTATCTCTATAACCTTTGCTACTCTCTCTAGAATTTACTTCTCTCTCCTTTAGAAATATTCCTGTTGAGATCAGAAGGGTGGTAAATACTCTGATTCTCGCTCCGATAGCAGCCTTTGCAATGCTCAGAGACTAAAAGATGGAAGGTACTCAGAAGTGTGTTCCACTTGGTTGATGATGCTGCAATTACAAGCCATTAAAAGGAAAAACTAACTGCAACATTTTCTGCCTGCATTCACTGATGCCAGTTGTGAATCTAACAATCAGCAGCCCCTCCCCCACACACACACACACACACAAAGATTAAGATTCAAGGTGCTAATGATAGACCTGAAATCATTTTTAACCTTGAAGAGCTAGAGACAGTTGACTGTTTCACATACATGCAATCCTTTTCCAGTAAAGTACTATCGCTGGACCAGGAAATCAACATCTGAATAGGTAAAGCAGCAACAAAAATCAGCAGAATTAACAAAAATAAGTTTGGGAGAAAAGAAAGCTCACTGTTAAAACAAAACTTTCTTGTTTTTCAAGTTTGTGCCCTCATCCGTCTTTAGAGTAGTAGTGAAACTTGATCAACATATTTGTACCAGGAGAAACGGCTATACAGCTTTCACGTGTGATGTCTACAAATAATACTTGGCAATAGGTGGCAAGATTACAAACACTGAAGTGATGAGAAGAGAAAGGATCACAATAGTTTTATAAGGGCTCAGTATTCCAAGGTAAAGATGACTAGGACACACTTGCAGGATGGAAGATAGTAGTGACATTAAGGATATCCTCCTCCATGGTAAATTACAGATCAATAGAAAATGTCAAGGGATTGACCTCTGCTATGTTTTAAAAATGTATGCAAGAAGGACATGAATGATACAGGTACTGGGTGGATTACTGGCCAAAAAAAAAAAGACACATGATGGTGTTGCATAGAGGAAAACAATTTGGAAGGAAATAGGGATACAGAAGATTATAATTGCAGAGAGATTAAGATTTGAGTGCTTGAAAAGAAACATGTCGGTTACACACGCTGGTAACAAATCTTAGGCATTTACTGTGGAAAACTGTTTAAAATGCCAGCTAGCTTTGCGAGTTACACTTGCCATTGCCATGGGATACCCAAGCTGACTTATAGCACAAGGTAACGCTACTATGGTAACGCTACTATCTCAAAAGATGGAAAGATGCCAAAAAACATTTATCATTGAATCACCCGCTAACAATTGTTATTTTATTTATCAATGTCCTTGTCAACAATTATGACTGGTTGCTACATGTGATAATAAACAGATTTCTATATCACAAAAACTGCATAGATTTCTTAAAGCTGAATGTAACGCAAGACCGAAATAGGTGATGGATTAAGGGTGGTGCATGAGAGAAGCTGTACATAACTGGGAAACAAGTCACTGACATATATTTTGTCTGTGTTTACTGATTTATTGTACATAAGAAATTCACAATGTCGTCTACAACAACCTGACATTCCTCTAGGATGTAGTTCTTTTATTCAGTTTTTTTTTTGGGGGGGGGGGGGGGGGGAGAAAGGGGAGTGGAGGAGGGGGGGGGGGGGGTTAATTTTTGCATTTATACTGTTATTAAAGTGCCACTATTGCAAATAAAACAACAAGAGCCAAGAAGTACAGTTTATAAGTACATTTATTTGTATACAGTGTATTTACATGACGACGCCTTGTGAATGGTAGCAGATCATTTGCATGTTACATATTGTAGTAACATGCAAGACATGTCACCAGACTGCTAATGTGCAGCTAACTTGAGAGTGCTTGACAAGCACAACAAAATCTAGCTGTCATCTATTGATAAGTCTTACTCTAACATGTACATCTCAAAAATGACAGAATTGCATCTTTTACTTATGGATTTGGTGCTTTCATCAGTTCTGTGAAGCAAGACAAATGTGCAGTTTGGAGGCTTTAAAGCATGAGATAAGATTGAAGCATAGACACAAGCTTGAAATGATGGGTAGTAAGCTTTAAAGCATGAGATAAGATTGAAGCATAGAAGCAAGCTTGAAATGATGTGCCGTAAGCTTTAAAGCATGAGATAAGATCAAAGCATAGAAACAAGCTTGAAATGATGGGTGGTAAGCTTTAAAGCATGAGATAAGATTGAAGCATAGAAACAAGCTTGAAATGATGGGTGGTAAGCTTTAAAGCATGAGATAAGATTGAAGCATAGAAACAAGCTTGAAATGATGGGTGGTAAGCTTTAAAGCATAAGATGGAAGCTTGAAATGATGGGTGGTAAGTCTAACAGATTTTCTTCTGAGTATTCATTTGGAGTCTACTGACAAGGAAATGCCCGAAGCCTTTGGAAGAAACATGGCTAGCCTAGGGCTAATGTCAGCCATTTTGTGTTACATTGAATCATAACCTAATTATATCTTACCATGCTTCTCCATAGATGCCAAGCTCGAATACCAATGAAGCAACTGAATTATTGGTTAATGTACTTAAAGAGGGCAAAGAGACCTCTGCACCATTGTCTCTGTGAAAAAGTACTCTTGCACTGTGCCAGGAGAAAAGCATCTAAAACAACCTCACAACTGTGGCATAAAATCTTTGTCAGGACTGCAGCAAAGTGAATGTCACTGTTGAAGTTAACAGCAAACCACAGTTTTCTAGATGATTCACACTCAACCATGCCTAAAGCAGAAACTGAAACAGGGCTTTGACCCTCTACAAAAACCTGTAACAAAAATCAATGTTCCTGTCAAATGCTGAGCTGTTCATTAATCTTGGCTCATAAATAAATAAAGCAATTGTATTATTCATATATACAACATGCTGCACAGACATCATTATTTAGTTACTGTTGGAAAAAATCATTGATTATACAAAAAGGGATTCAAATGAAAACTGTGAAAGCGTGAAAGAAATGACTATAATCATGCCACTGTCTTGTAACCTGTCAATATTGTTTTTAGGGATGTCAAGAGTATTGGGCACATGACATCACCGTGTAGAAAAACATGGTGATGTCACAATGACATTATAAAGATGACCACCCTACTTCTGACATGAACCTAAGAGGAGCAGCATTCTGTCATCCATGGTTTGGTCAGTGAAGTAGTGAAACCTATAAAAATTCATAGGAAAATGAAGGTCCAGTCTGGTGATGATTGCCTGTCAGTCCAGTTTAAATGTATGAGCAGAGTATGAAGTTTCCAAATGGCATGATTTCTGTGAAAAAACTGTTTAACAACTGGGTCAGGTTCACTGAGTAGTGACACCCCACTGCAATATGACAATGATGGACCCCATAATGCTGTTAAAACCATTTCACTTTTATTGTGTAGCACATTAAACATACTCATCAGACTTAGCCCCAAGTGATTTCCATGCCCGACAACTCAAATAATCACTGTGAGGAAATACTCTTAGTTTGATGAATAGGTACAGCAGGTAAAACAAGAGTGGTTGGTTACACATTGGTGACTACACAGACAGATTGTGGATCAACAGTCATATTCTCAATGATCACAAGAGAACCTATGCATCATGGAATGATAAGTAGGTGCCCTTGTATCCACTGGTCATACTTATCAAATGTCTATAAAATGATCAGGTTCAACGCATGCAATTACATAAGGTTCAAATGAACCTAATATATACAGATGGATCTGCTATGTCAAAGCAGGCTTCAGAGGTTATATACAAGACCAAGACATTTCCCCACAGGAACTCTCTGAAGCCTGCCGAAATGGGTAAGAGCACTGTATCACCAGCAGAAGTTGTTAAGGCCTTTCCTAAAACAGGCCCCCCAAACATTACTATCTTCTTTGATCGACTATTTTGATAGTTTTTATAAAATGGGGACTGAACTTGGCAAAATTACTTGAACAGTGGACAAGATGGCCACATAAGATAATGTTAGGATAGTCATTGTGTGTCATTCTAACATGCCTGATAATGTCAAGTAAGACAGACAAACACTAAGAAGAAAAAAAGATCTAGGCAAGAACAAATGTGTACAGGAACAACTCTGAAAACAGCCAAGTAGCCAATACAAACTGTAAATAAAAATATCTTCTGTCAATTGAATTGGGATAAGCCACTGTCCCAATAAAGACAACGTGCAATGCTGAAGAAAGAATACATATAATCTTTCTTTAAAACTGAGTGGACACAATTAGGAAAGAAGAGTGGGCAAAGCAAGATGCCTATAAAAATAATATAGAATACCAAATACATTTTAACAATAGGAAATGATATTAAACATCAACAGGTGTGGAAACTCTTGGTGGTGATGGCTGCAGATTGATCCTAGCATTGCGAGTTGTCAATTCTCTCTGTAGTTCTTCAACTTTTCTCTGGAGCTGGGTTTTCAGCACCAGAAGCTCGTGGTTGCGAATGTGAATTGGTTCCTGGTTAAAAAAAATAAAAATAAACAGGTATTCATGTATTCCCTGAAGCATCTAGGGATCTTTAAAGGACAATGAAACACACATCTTGTGAGAAGGGAGGGAGGCAGTCATGTTAAGTTGAGGGCAGCATATTTTTAGTACCTGTCCATGGACTGTTTGTTTAGTGTTCAACAATAACTTTATGTGTATACGTATGAACAGTTTACAACATAGGTTATTTTCAAGCTAAACATACTTAATTCCTATTACATTTTCTCTCCATAATAGAATGTATGCTTCTCCTGATGTTGATTCTATCTATAAAATAAACTTATCTGTAAATCTGTTACAGTTGTAAATGAAATAATGTTGCAGTTAAGAGATCCTGTTTTACCAGGGACCCCTACAGTAGAGAGATTAAACAAATGTCATGACTGCATGGAGACAATAGGGATATACACTATGTTAACAATAGTGCCCTTGCAAACTGGTGCCACCCCTTTCTGTGCTTCAGCTAGTGATACATGAAATAATGAATGTGTTAATGGCAAAGCCACCCAGTACATTCATCAACAAGTGTAGACCACTTGCTACAGTATCAATAACTATGGTAGCTGTCAGTAAAGGACATTTTTTCTAACGCTGCTGGTGCTGCATCGGGCATATGATGTTAGACTCATATTTTTAAAGATAAACTGACACTTCATGGGTGATGTGGTCAACGACATGTTGAGGCACTTGATGGTGACGTGGCCAACATCATGTTTGTCCTCTTTACTTTCTTGGATTCTATCTGCTATTCTTTTTAGGCTGACTTGACCTGGGAGTCAAAGTTATTTATAAAAACTTAGAGCACTCAGTCTGGATCTCAGCACACAAGCTTCAGGTCCGTAGGGAGGCTCTAGCTGCTACACCACAGTGGCTCCTTACTGTAGCTGTTGAGGGCACTTCCTATTTGTGTCTCTGTTTGGCTCATCATAAGGTAATTTCACATTGAGTGATCAGTAAGCATCATTGTTTTAACTATAATATTAGAAATTAATTCACAATAGCAATTTACTTCAATCTATTACATGCCCGGCTCTCTAGCGTAGTTGGCTAAACCGGATTGCACGGAGACCGGGTGACGAACTCCTTGTGGTCCGGGTTCAATCCTGGGGGTAGGCAGGAAAGCCACATTTCTCCCAGATTTTACGGTATTTACAATGGAATCAAGGCCGAAAGGTTGCGATATCCATAATACCGAGCCTAAGGGTTAACAACTTAGGGTTTCTGGATACTAAAACAAACAAACAAACAATCTATTACATTAGCATTCACACTATTATTTTAGTGTTCAGCCAGTTTACCTTGCAGAGAGAGATTGTGATAAATTCTGTGAAAAGTAAAGGTGGTTGTTGTGTTACTGATCACAGCACCCACTGAAGGTTGGGTTTTCTATAACAAATATGGGGGCTAACAGCATATGTTTGATATAAGGTGTGGAACTAGGACCTTAACTGTAAAAACAAGACAGTGAGATCTGAAATGCTGGTACCATTACAGCAGAAGTATATGACCTGAAAATGAAACAGTAAACAGAGAAAGGTATGAAAATTAGAACTTGCAAATGAAGCGTCATGAGGAAAACCATTTTGACTGATTGTGTACAAATGAGTAAAGTGCTTTGGTATATATGCTACCATCATTATGGCAGTGGTACAACAAGTGTCCTCAACATGAATGAATGAAAAGGCAGAATTAAAGAAAACTTGAAACATCAAGAGTAAAATGAATGTTTAATGATTCTGTAGAAACAAGTCAGTGACATAGGAAATGCTGGCATCCTCCCAGCAGACACATAATACATCAAACTGATTATGAAACAAGGACTAGAGAGAAAAGAGAAAGAGCTGGGACAGCAGCAGCATCCAGAAAACCAAAGACAAATGCCAACCTGTGGTTTCATTCTTGGATTCCAGCGACAGTAGTAACCAGTCCAAATCTCCAGGCGGCGGACACTTGCCACAGGGAACAGGACATGCTGGTGTACATGAGCTGTGTACAGGGGGTTGGTGAACTCCTCCTGCTGGTAGTTAATGTATGACCACAGGGACACAGTCAGCTCTGGAACACGCTGCACAATTGTGAAGACAACAATTGCACAATGATGACAATATTTGAGTTATTGAAGTATTGGATCATCTGGCTTATTTTATTGCAATAAAATGTAACAGAATAAATAATTTCAGTAAAATTATAATGCTGAAGTGTTCAAGTAGAAACAATCATGTATTAACTTCAGTATAGTAAGCTATGACATAAATAAGCTGAGAAATGGCAAACAGATGTGTGATTGTGGTTTGCGGAGCATAAAACAAACAAAGAATACAATGGGCTGAGCACAAAATAATTAGGTAGACCTCTATTAGACAGACAAAAAGTGTTAATTGATATGACAACAAGTAATGAAGACAATGCACATTCTGACTAGTTCATGACAATGAGATAACTACCTGGATGGCTGGGTCAGATGGCATGGGGGCGGGGGCAATAACGCAGACCTGATCTGTGATTCTGATTAATTATATGCGATGGTGGACCATGAACTCCAATGTTAACTGGCATGACATAAGATAATGAGAAAGCCCCAAGCTGTGTGATTTTTGTGTTCTTTGATGTTTCTAAACAGGATGATATGAATTTCATCAAAATGTCACATGTAAAATGTTTTCTTAGATCCTATTGATAGTGAAAATCATATACAAGACAGGGTAGAGGAGCTAGAGACTATACCTTCAATACAAAAAATGCACAGAATATAATGCAGATTTTCATAACTCTTTCATAGACTACTATAAGGCTTCTGACTGATGTGTCCAACATCAACAACTGTGGAGCATCATAACACATGGGATTTTCAAGACAATTGATCCATCTTGCTGAAAAACTGTTATCATGAACAAGCAGCTGTTAGAAAAGCTTGTGAAACAACAAAATCGGTCAGAAAAAAACCTACTGGTAGAGTAAGACAAGGATACATCCTATCTCCATACTTGTTCAACATCTGTTTTAAAAATGAAATGTAATGAGACATGGCAAGAGTTATGAGGCCATTGATAGCTCTGATTTGCTCATAACTGGTCAAAATCCAGTCCCAGAACTCAGCAGACGATATTCATCTCCTCCCAGATAGTGTAACATGATTATAATTTGCTAACTGTACATTATTTTTTATCTGCAGGATTTTTACAATCAATTTTAAACTGTTCTAGTAGCATGATCATTGTTTCATGTTTCACAGTCAGTGTAGTCTATGAAGCATAAGCATATATTTGTTTGTATTTTTACGACTCCTCTGATAATGTACATAGAAATTTGTGTGCGTCTTGCCTTCCATAAATCTACATTGTTCATCAGTAGTTTCCAGTTTAATCTTACTCCATACTCTTCTCATAATTATTCTCAGCAACAAAGTGGCCGATAATGACAAGTCTTATTTACTAACAATAGTATATGACCTCAGAGTAAAGCTGGGTGAAGCACATCCATGCCATCTATGAGGTCAACTTCTTAAGGTAATGATCATTAGAGGTATCTTGGGGTGGCTGTTGTATCAGACGACTGAGCATGCATGGGAAGGTACAATATGTAGTGTTTTCAGTTGTGATAACATGCCTCTTCATCTAAGGCTAAGATAGACTTGTGGATTATGGTACTCTACTAGGAATATACCGTCAATTTTCTCAAATGTAATGTTTGAACCAGAAGCCTTTCCTTCTGAGTAATATAGCAAATTCTCAACCTATTTATCAAATACTGGAGGAGCTTTCCCACTGTTTCAATCACTTATAAGTCTCCTATAACCATAGTAAAGTAAAGATCCCTTTTCATGCCATAGGCGCATCGGGTAAATGGGAAGAGCGCCCCAGATTTTTACAGACCATACAGCTTTTGTATTATCAACCTATTATATTGTAATCAGTTATGGCAGAGAAGCAGATGGAAAAAAGGAAAGGATGCCAGTTCAGAAAAAGGATGACCAGGGTTCTAATGTCTTGTAAGGAAGGAGACATTCATCTTCTGGCACCGATGAAACAATCTTAGGCTTAACACTGGACAGTGATTGTCTGGTCAAGCCATCATTACTGTCAGTCTTCAGCTAAACCATATCAGCATGCTTAAGAAACAGTAGTAAGTACTGTAACGGTACTATAATGACAAATTTCTCACAAGTTCTATGCATGACCAGAACACTTAGATTTCTGAAGAAAATTAAGGGGTCACTACACCGCATTTTTTTGCAATTTATGACAAAAATATCTTTTTTCAATGTTTTCGCTTTTGTAAAGTTCGGCATTTATAGATTAGTTTGCACACAAGATTTATGTCATTTGTAAACAATTTAGTGTTGAAAAGTTAATACTAAAGACACCACCCTAAGTACTTTTTTTTTTAAATTAAAAAAAGTTTAAAAGTCAGTTTTCTCACAATTCTATTTTTCTGTTTGTTGTGTGTGTAAAATCCTAAAATCTCTGCTAATATAAAGACCAGAAACATGAAATTTGGTGTGGATACTCCAAGAACAAAATTATAGGGACAGGTTTATTTAAAAGTAGAATTTAGGAAAGTTTTAAAAAACATTTGATTATTGTCTTATGATGTTACATTTTTGTTTAACCTTTTCAACATACCTACATTTTAAAATTCTAAGAAAAATATTTAGAAACATCTTTAAAGTAAATAAACTACACCTGTAGCTCAAAATAGGATTAAAGTTCATGAACACATTATCTATTTCTCAATACCTAAGTCTGTTTTTTAAATTTTAGGATTCTAAGTACATGTATTTTTTCCAAGATGGCAACCATGATTTGTAAAACTTGAAGTGTGCAAATGTATTAACATCTATCCCTACAAATGATCATTATAAAATAATTGGTATAGCATTGAAAATTTAAAAAAAAAAAAAAAATTTTTTAGGGGTGTAGTGACCCCTCAAGTTTCCCCCTGTGTTTGCCCTTCAAAACAGCGGTTGACATAGCTGTTGTTAACATTTAGGATGCAATATTTATGCCTTTTGACCCAATACATTTGATTTCCCTAATTATTTGTCTTTTACAATATGCTTAAAAAGGGGTAGTGGTTATACTTTCATTTACTCCACCCCTCCCCCTTAAAAGGGCCTTGGAACGCAGACAGGGAGGTGACGGTTTAAAAACCATTGAAATGCTGACAAACAGCTTATTAATTTTCATAAGAATTTGTTTATTCAAATATATTTTAACTGCAGCATACTACAAATATAATACTGGAAGAATCAAGATATACAAACATATCACAGTTATCTACTGGTTAAATAATGTTTTTGATTACCGAACACAAACTAGAAAAACCACTGACCTCTTTAACTCTCTCCCTCTCACAATTGTAGAGGAAAGTGCCAAACAGACAGCTGTATAAGTGGTCCAGTATTGTGATCAGGAAATTTTCATTGAATTCAAATGCATTTGGAAACTAAGATAAGACAGAACAGATACAAAAAAATATGAAACACTGAATCAAAGTCATCACAAATAATAAACAATAATATGTAGCATGATGTCAGCATCAGATCTTCGGTCCGATATAGTGTAGTAGAAACTGAAGTAAGGAAAACTATTGCGTTTATATCTATATCAGCAACACTGTAATCAATCCACTTCTGCCCATGTTATAAATGGTTTTCTCAGGAGTGCACATTTTAATAGATAACAGACTAATTTAATGTGTGTTTAAAAGTTAGTTGTGACTGATTAAACATTAAAAACATAACTGAATTTCTTTTTCTGGTAAAATACAGCAGATCTCTTGCCGATTTCCTTTTCCTATTGTGACTTTAATACTCTGCGCCAACCGTCATGATCTTCTTCTTCTTCGTGTTCACCAGCTGTAAACTCTGCTGGAAAGTTCTAGTTGTTCATCCACTTCTGGACTGCAGTCCTGTTCCAGAACCTGAGTGTTGCGTGTGCATCAATTTTACAGATCTGACTCATTTGTATGCAGACTGCTGGTTCCTTGCCTCTCAGGCAGATGCACTCCGGCTTAGAAGGAAACTCTCAATTAGTCGACTCTTACGACATGCTTTTGGGTAGGCAGTGGGTCTATTCTTGTTTTCCCTATAACAAGGCCTCGGAACCCACACGGGTAACCGTCATGATGACTCTCTCTCTTCTTCTAGGAACCATGATTTTATGACCTTTCTTTCTAAATTTTAATACTACTGAACTACAAATCAACTCCAGCCCAGATATGTTCTGACAGCCTGTATTTTGTGTTAATGCAGCCATTGATGATAATTCCCACTGAAACGAAGTAGTGCTACTGCTATAGAGAGGTACATTTAAACAACTAGATTCATCACTGACTATCAGTGTAAACTTCCCAACCTAACTACTCTTGGATGACACTGCCCAAACATGTAAAAGAGAACTGCTGGTAGACACATTACACTCTTTTAACATTTATAAGATTTTCTCAGCAGACACTGGTGCTTATAAACTGTCTATGCTAATCTAACATCTTAACAGCAATAGCAAGACTACAACAGCTGAAGGTTTGCTATGTTTTATCCTCACAACCAATGCTGGCTCATCGAAGCCATCTCAAGTAATATAACCGGCCATTCCCATGTAGCTCTTTTAATAAAGCACAAACAGCACATTTTTAGTGTGCCAATTTCAGTGACATCTGGCATGATACCTTTCTCTACATGGGTTTGAGGGTTGTTCATCATCATCACCACCATAATGTGGCTTGCCAACTGGAGTGGGCGATTATACCTCATAATTGGTAGTCATTAACAGCATTTATTAATTCATGTGCTGACTATATCCTCCATGCAATGAAAAAAGACTGTTAAGAATCTTCTCACAATGTCTTCCTCTATCTCTCTTTCTATATTTTTTTTTTTCAGTTGTCACAGCGTGTTCCAGTTTCTTTCTTTACTTCTGTGTATACAAGTGATACTAACTTTGTATAACTGATCACAATCTATGCAAACAAACAAATCACAGTTGCAGCATTACAATACCTGCTGCGTCATTTGCCAAACACAGTCAATGAACTGGAGAAACACAGGTGACCTATCAGCATCTGAATGCTTGTCTTCTCCGTGACCAACACGCTGAAAATATGGGAACAAAATATTTCCTGTGATGAATGCTATTATGGATTTTTTAAAATCTTTCTGTCATCTGTAGTACATATTTTTAATTTAGAATAAAACTAAAAAGTGACTTACACAGCAGACTGCTTCTTCATACACCTTCAGATGTCAACTCAAAGCATCAGTCAATTTGAGCTTTCTGACATCCAGGGTTCATAGCCAAATTTACCAATAAATTTCAAGGCTTTTCAAGGTCCTTTTCAAGGTCTCCTTAGTTTTTTTCAAGGTTGTCTCAGTGTAATACTGAAACAAGATTTTTTGCCTTGTTCAAGGGTGTACCCAGCACACAATGTACTTCACTAGTGCCACACGTGTTGGTATACCAGACCATAAATCATCATTATCATGTAGCAGGTCCTTTGTCCTGAAAGAAACCTGGTCTCTCACCAGCTCTCCCGTCTCATGTACTTTCATACTCAAGGAGTCTACTTATATCCTGTACCCATCTTCGTGCTGGTCGGCTTCTAGGCTTGATATAGTGTTTGACAATTTTGTTGAAGACTTGGTGGTAGAGGGCAGCAAACTGAAGTCATGTCTGTTCTGGACCTGGTACCTGAAACGGGGGAAGGGGGGGGGGGGTCATACAGAGAGGGAGGAAGACACATGCTGAGGTAGACTGGGAGACACAGTGTAAAGATGGACAGATGAAGGTAGAGGAAAGAAGGGAAAGAGTCTGGGGAAGGAGGAAAAAATATGACAATGAGAGGGAGGGATGGAGACATGATGAGGGAAAGTGGGGACGGGACAGCGAAAGACAGAGAGGGAGACAAATACAGAAAGAGGGAATGCAGATGATGAGAGAAGGAAGAAGGGAAAGAAAAGAGATATGAAAGGAGGAAAAATACGACAAAGAGAGTTGGAGGAAGGGAGATAGAGGGAGAGAGAATAGACAGGGAGAGAGGGAGATGCAAGCAGAGAGAGATGTAGACATAAAGGAAAGAGACAAAGGGATAGCATAGAGAGACAAGCAGACAGAGGGGGAGAACCAAAGAAAGAGAAAAAAGGCAGAGCAGGAAAATGGGAGGGAGGTATACAAAGAGGAAGTGATGAAGGGAGGCTAATAGACATAAAACAAGAGAGAGGGAGAGAGAGATGGGTAAGGAAGGCAGTGACAAACACAGATTAAGAGAGAGGGGCAGGAAGGGAGACAAGAGAGTAACAAAATATGCAAGAATTGCTACAAATATAACAACACATTAAAGAAAAGAAAAAACTAGCCTCATGCTGAAAGCCCACCCACTACCCCAACACAATTTCAAGTGTACTGGACACAACCACTAGGAAAAGATGGTTATGGGGCAACAAAACAAATGTAGAAGAACCAGAAAAAATTGGGGGGTGAGAGAGAGGAGAGGGTAAGGAAATCTAGAGAAAATGAGAAGACAGGATGGAAAGGAGAAAAAGAAGAGATGGGACAGGAGGAAGAGCAAGAGAGAACAGAGTAAGAAAAGGAAGAGAGGAAGGATGGAGAAATAAAGGAGAAGAGTGGAAGATCAAAGGAAAGAGAAGGGGTGAGAGAAGAGAGGTAAGACATGGTGGGTGTGGCGGGGTGGCGATAACAACACTGAGCACCAAAAATAGAATTAGGAAATCTAAGTGAGGCCACTTTGTCTGGTTCCTACCCTCTCCCATTGTGAATGTGGCCATGGTCTATAAACAGTGCTAACCCCTACCTGACCCATGCTTGTCTAATCTGCATGTGACAACAATAGTTCCATTTTCTTACACTCAAGGCTGGTGACCTGGGAGCTAAGGTCATTTTATGAAAAGAAAAAAGTGGGGTGGGGGGGGGGGGGGGGGAGAGAATCCCAATGCATCACTTGTGGAAAACAGAGCAGGATACAAAAAAAATATAGGTCAGAGCACCAGTGGACTTCGTTTTATTTCTGATTTTTCAAATACAGAAAGGGGAGGGGAGAGGAGGTGGTGTAGAAGGCTGAGATGGTAAGGGTGAGACAGGGGAGGTGAGAAAGAGAGAGAATAAAGTTTGAGAAAAGAAAGTTGGGACTGAGACAGGGAGAGAAAGAATGGAGAAAGAAATAAGATGATATAGAGGGAAGAAGGTAGCGGGAAGGGGCGCGCGACCCCCCTACCCCCAGGTGTCATCAATGTGGGTGACTGCAAATGTATTTTTAAAAGTACACATATATTTACGCCAATTAAATAATGGAGAAAGAGAGAGAGGGGGGGGGGGAGAGAGCTGCAAATACAAAGAGAAAGAGAGGAAGACAGTGAGATGGGCAGAGAGTGAGTAAAAGGTAGGACAAAATGTGAGGGGGCAGGTAGGGAGATGGACAGAGATTAAGGCCCACTAAGATAACAAACATTTTAAAAAAAATATCCACCATGTTCATGCTAAACACCCCCCCCCCCCACCCCCCCATAACACAACTTCCTGTGTACTTGCCAGTTACTAGGAAAAGAGTTATGGAGCAGCACATTTACTAAACATTTAAACAAGAAATAACATAGGAAAAGGGAGGAGGGGGGGGGGGGGGAGAGGAAATGAGAGAGTAAAAGGAAAGATAGAGAGAAAGAGAAGAAGATGAAAATCAGAGGGGAGGGTGAGAGACAATGCAGGAGACATGAAGGAGGGAGCAAGAGGTAGAAAAGTAAAAGAGGGAGGGGAGAGAGAGAGAGGTGAGACAACAGAAAAGGGAATCTCAGGGAATTACAATATTGATCACCAAACACACTGTAAAGATTAACCAGGCCAAAAATAGAACTGGGAAATCCAGCTGACGTCACTTTGCCTAGCCCCACCACGGCCAACTCTATTTATAAACACAGATGGACCCGAGCCCCACCATCTCCCAATGAAATCCTTTCTAAAAACCTGACTGACTGACTGACTTTCTACCCCACCAGGACATCACACAAGCGATAAACACCCGATGACACAAAGTGCCACCATGTGGATGAGGACTGCCACGGAGAGGTCCCAGAAACCGCGTTCAGGCAATTGGCCATATTTATGGCCAGGTTATATTGCGGCGCCTGGCAAAAGCCAGGGTGGGGCTTCAAAAAACAAAAAATTTCGTCCTAAAAAGGACGTAAGGATATTAAACGCAGGTTTTCTAAAAACCATGGTGATAAAGCTATTTATACTATTAATACTGCCGGACTTGCTCAAAAAAAAAGACACGCACACACACCAGCTGCTCCTTCCTGTTCCAAGCCACGCCGCTGCTGTCTGTATGTATTCATGGTCTACTCTTTAACAAGCTATTTCGGCTGAAAATAGCTAATAATAATCATCTGCTTTCATACCTGAAACGAACGTAAATTAAAGTAGCCAAAACTAGCCAAATGGCCAATAAAAAAAAGCCTAACTGCCGAAAATCGCAGGACTTTCGACGATCTCATTACGGCGGTGGTCAAAATTCACTGCGGCGGTCAAAATTCACGGCTTCTCAAGGTCAGAATGTCGTTTTAAAGGTGACAATCATGGTTCAAGGTCGCCGAAAAAAAATCACGGTAAATTCAAGATATCACGGTCCACTACGAACCCTGGACATCACCAGTTTGTTCTCAATAAGTGCAGAGCATGCCAAAATAACTGACATTTATTTACATTCACAGCAATATGAATTTAGCTAGGTTAGACACCAATGCACTGTCAATACCAATATGGTGTCACTTGTAGGATAAGTTATCAGTTAGTGAGAGATTCCTTTGTCTCACTGCTGCTAGACAAGTCTTGAAACACACTAATAAATCCATCAGTACACAACAACCACTATTCTAGTTCTTTGTTAATTGTTCCCTTTGTGCTTTTTAGTATGGCTGTGCCCAACTCAGTAGCTGGTTCCCATCCAGCAAACACAGATCCACAAATAATGTCAGTTAGTATAAACAGAACCGAAGATGGGAAATTGGATAAAGAAATTGACATTAGGTGCAGTAAAGCAAACCAAGTATTGGGACAGCTAGCCCCCCTCTTACAGCATAAGACAATCCCAATCAGCACAAAGAGACATCTTATTCAAGGCATATTTATTCCAACTCTGTGCTACCAGTGCCAGACATGGTCACTCACAACAAACCATAAAAGAAAATTAGTAACCACGGAAATGAGATGTCTGAGAAGGGCTGTAGGAGTGACCATAAGAGATAAGATCAGAAATGAGATCATAAGAGAACAAGTCGGCACAGAACCAATTCTGGATTACATACAAAGACAGCAAGTGAAATGGTTTGCCCACTTAGAGAGAATGCCTTGTGACACCATACCATACAAAGCATACATGGGAAGAGAAGAAGGACGTAGAGCACGGGGTAGACCAAGAACAAGATGGAAGGATAACATCAGAGAAACTCTACAACAGCACGATGTGCCTATGGTCGAGGCAGCCAGAAGAGCTAGAAACAGAACCTTATATCTCCCTCGACACCCACAGCGGTAAAAGAGGAAGTGAAGAAGAAGAAGAAGTATAAACAGAGTTTAGCAATGGTTTATCATCAACAGAACAGTATTCTCCTTCCTCTGTGTCTGTCCTGACTAGTACGGTTGGCATCTTGTATCATAGGTAGGCTGCCATATCTGCCTCTTTTGGCACAACATATGCTATTTCAACATAATCTTCATTTATCAGGCTGTAATATCTGCCTCTTTTGGCACAACATATGCTATTTCAACATAATCTTCATTTATCAGGCTGTAATATCTGTGCCTCTTTTGGCACAACATATGCTATTTCAACATAATCTTCATTTATCAGGCTGTAATATCTGTGCCTCTTTTGGCACAACATATACAATTTCAACATACCCTTATTTTGTCAGGCTATAGTATCTGTCTTTTTTGGCACAACACACGCAATTTTAACATAGCCTTAATTTGTCAGGCTGCCATATCTGCCTCTTTTGGCACAACACAAAACTTTCACTACTGTCTGTGGTTTCTGGACCACAAACTTTGTGAACCCATTTTACTATGAGATCCTCTACCAGTTTAATTCAGACCACTTTAATGAGGCATATGGCATGGACGAATAGCAAAGGTTAGGAATGAGGTTACAGAGCTTCTCTTTTCATAGTTTTGTTTCTGGAGGACACTGATAGTGAAAGAGTACTAGTAAAATATTGAGTTATTGCTGCTCCTCAACCCCCCCCCCCCCCCCCCCTCCTCCCCCCATGACCTGAGACAGAAATTTATAAAACAAGCCTGTACATATCTGGTTTAATTTACCAGTATTGTGGTCTTTACCCTTTGCCACAGGAACGCTTTAAAAAAAATGGGTATGACATCAGGGAAATTCCCCCAAAACTCCTTTAATAAAATCCTATTCTATATAGATCACAATAAATTTATTTATCTATATTTCCTTCTCCAAATATAAAGATATCTTTTAGGAGTAATGAAACATAAACAGAGTGAAACATTAAAGGGAATGCATTCTCCAAGGCCTAAAATCTGGTGACCTCTATCATTGAGGCTTATGGGACAACTGCACATCAACTTGGCTCAAAAAAAAGCTATTTGGTGCACATAGAAACATCCTAAACATCTGTGCAGGCGTCAACTCAACCAATAGCATCAACTCTGCATCTCATAAAGATGTCACTGTAGAAAAGTAGGAACAAAACATTTATAGGGAACTGGACTCCACAGGAAGTGTTGGGGTTTAGGGTTTCTCAGGGTAAAACCATACAACACAAACCCAACTCAATTTCAAATTATAAGTAAATTGTAAGTAGAGGCAGGGGATGATCAGCATGATACTGGACATACGATGTCAAAGACACCATGGTATGAAAGCTCATGAAGTGGGAAAGTTGGCGGGGGATGAAGTGACTTTTTGACATGCCCTGATAAAAGCGATGTTTTGCAAAGGACTTGCTACATGATGATATTGTGTATAAATGACAACTTCTCAGACCAACACTTACTGTTTTAAACTTGTGACCAAAGCTAAGCCATTCCTGCTCAACCAACAGCTCAAAGCCTCTAATTGTGCGGTAGTAGGGGTCCAACATTAACATAGCCAGCGAAGTCAGCTGAAAGTCAAAGTTAGGTAGCAGAAACTTATTAATTTTTTCATTATATCTCACATTAGATCTAAACTTATTAATTTTTTCATTATATTTCACATTATATCTCACATAGTTTTAAAAATTAGCAGGTGAAGTAAAGTAGTATTAAGCTGTTAAAATGTGCTTCCCACGTTGTGATAAGAAATAGAAGGTGTAAGAAGCTTCTTGCCCCTTTCTAAACTGATATACATAATACATGTCATCAAGTTTGCATGCCTATCCAGAGACTTATTTTAAGTAATATCCATGCAAAGATCAAATAAGCTCATATAGATAAGACATCCTGGTTTATCTAATCAGGCCAGTGTATTCAGTGACTGACCAGTGCATGCTCAGTGGTCAGCCTCACTTTCTGTGATATAAATTTTGACAAAGATTTGAGTAAACACATTTACCTGTGCAGTTCTATCCCAGCCATCGCTACAGTGAACCAGTACTGAGGTTTTATTGCTCTCCACCTTGTCTGCTATACGCACAGCTCCAGCAAGAATGATCTATTCAGTGAATGTGAATATTCCTTAGTAACTGCAACATTCACATTCTATATCTGCTTTATGATTATTTGCAATGTGACACTACAGTAAAGCTAAACTCACAAATGTTACATTAATAATTAACTTTAGTTATCTTATTGGCAACAAAGTGAAAATAAAGAAAGAAATTCTTACAAAATGGTCTCCGAAGAAAAATCTTAAAGCAAACAATTTAACTGAGGACAAGTGATAAGACAGTTAAACATGTAAATATTTAGGGAGTATCATATCTCAAAAGACAGTTACATGCAGTAATTGGCATGCTTGCCTGCCAGCCTACTGGTCATTGACTAGAATCTCCACTGGGACAGATTTTCAAAAATAATCTTGGCTTCCAGGCTGACTTGGCCTTAAAATTTGTACAAGGAATCGTTATGTGAAGTAAAATGGGATAAGGCAACAATATTCCCCACTGAAGGCTGATTTGTCTATACAATTAGCACATCATGCCATTCATCTAGATGTGGAAACTTGACTTCTTTCACAGTGAAAAAGCACCATTGACAGATATAAGAAGACAAATCAAGTCATTAGCCATATGTTGTCCCTTATAAAGACAGGACCTGTCATTATTTGATGCCACAAAACTCTTATATCAAACAATATGCTTCCCAGTCAATATCAGACATGGACTTGTACAGTGAACACATGAAGTGGTTAGGACAAACAGAACGTGGAGTTGTCAAATAAGTATGCCATGCCACAGAAAAATAGGCACAGCCAAGGACAGACTACATAAAAACCTTGGATGGTCAAGAAAGGAGATGTAATAAAGTACCTTAATATGCTCTAGCCAGTGTGTGGATTCAATGTTTGAAAGCCAGCGAGCATCATCTATGGTAGGAAAACACACCTCCTTCAACTTTCTCAAACTGAAAATCAGAAAGGTAAATCAGACATAAAATCTTAACACCCCCCCCTCCATCGTTTAATAAATGTGATAATTTAAATGTGATAATATTTAAACACTATATACAACAGATGCACCTTACCCAGTATTTTGTCTAAAAAACAGTGAAAGACATTAGCCCTACCAGACCTGAGGTCCTGAACCTAACTGCCTCCTATACCTGAGCCCTGGGCATTAACGCGAAAAACCCAACATGATACACACAAATATTAGTTACATGCAAACAAGTGGATAGAATAAAATGAAACTTGGAGACATTGTAGAAAATAGGTTTACCTTTCATCTAGCGCCAATATTCCACCTTTGTGTGCTAATCCACCCAGAAGGATCAACCTTGTTTCACAAAGTGAACACAAGATATTGCTGTTTGAGGGACACACCCCCTTTTCCTACTTTTGATCTATTTCTAGATTTATAATTTTCAAAATTCTCCTCATCATTCAAGCTCTCACTGACTGTGTCACTTCAACTGGGAACGTATTCTTCATGAAATTATTACTCCACAGAGTCTGAATCAATCAAAATATCAATCACCTGTTGGACTGTGAAAAGCCTAGACCTACTTCACTTTCCTGTCGAAGTGCCTGGTTCATCAGCTGCTCGCTTTATTGTGAATTTTCCGAATTTTTTCATGTAAATCAACACAAATTTAATCCAAACATGTGCGGGCGGACATTTGAGAAGACTATCCACGAGATCTGATTATGACTGGCTAGTTATTTTTAGTTTGTGACGCAGTTTTTTCATAGTATGCAAATTCTCGACATTGAGGGACAGTGGTTTAGCGGCAGATTAGGAAATTCCCGTAATAGCGGGCCAGTGGTCTGGTAGAGTTAGTACAAAATCATCAAAGGATTAAATATTCCCTATGTTTTTTTTTCTCCCCAGTGTCATCTTTTACCGCCGCTTCACATATGAACAACTCAGAGTAGCAATCAAGACTATAGTAAAACCTAGCCCGTCTTTAGTAATGACAACAGCAGTACTAGCTTACCTTTCTCTCATGACATGTATGTTGTGAATATCCAGGAATATCAGCTCTGCATTTTGGTATGCTTCTTCACTTTCATAACCTCCACCTCTGGCCTAAATAAACAGAAATCATGTTGGGTCAATTCAGGTTTCTTTTTTGACATTCACCACTGCAAAACTGATGATAATAGTTAGTGAACAAGGCAAAAAAAGTTTTGATTTGCTAAAATCCCATTTAATCTTTTTAAATACAACAAAACCTTAACTAGCTTTGGGAAATCAATAACTGTAGCCATGATCATTCTTGCATGCCAGCTTGCTAGCCTTGTAAACCCCAACAACGTAGCAATTTTAGAAACCGATTTAGGCCGACAAGTCAACCCAGTCTCAAATGGATATAGAGAGATGTTCTGGCATGATAGTGACCACATTCCCCGCTGGGTGCCAGCTAATCTAAACAATACCATACCTGACTAGCACCACATATATCCTCATCAGAACTGGAATTTAAAGAAAACGAAAATAATGTCCACAGATAAAACTGGGAGAGGAGCAGCTGGCCAAATGGTTAGAATGTTGAGCTATCAAATGGGAGACCCAGGTTCGAAACCTCTGTAAGGCTGGGGATTTTTTCCTGTCAGGGGCAAAATAAAATCCTCACCTACACAGTCATGGCGACAGCACTAGCCATGCGACCGTAAATCCTCAGGTTCAATAACCACCTGCCTACACCACAAAAGTGGTAAAATAAAGGCAGTAATTGGCAGTTTTTTTTAAAATTTACATAAAACTGGCTGTCACTCAAAAATAACAATAAATAATGAAGAAATTGAAAATTTCACAAACTTTGAATATCTAGGCTCTATAATAAATAGCAATGAGACTGATAGAAATTAAAAGGAGGATGGCCATAGCAATGCAAAGATTATACAACATTAAAAGTCTATGGTTAAGCACCAGCAAGGACATCGAAATTAGAATTTTGAGAGCATGCATCTTCCCTGTAGCAATATACGGATGTGAGTCGTGGACTATCTCCCAGTCCTTAAAAAAGAGAATAGGGGCTTTTGAGCTGAAATGCTACAGAAAGGTTCCTAGAATATCTTTCTTGGACAGAGAAGAGGAGAAATATTGACATCTTGAAAGATCTGAACATCAAGGAAGATTGGCTAATAAACAGCTTCCTGTCTCGGAAGCTGAAATATTTTGGTCACATCAAGCGCCAAGATGGATTAGAACAAATAAAAGCTAAAGGCATGGTGCCAGGAAGGAGGGGCAGAAGCCGACCAACATGAACATGGGCACAGGATATAAGTGACTCCTTGAGTATGAAAGTACATGAGGCAGGACAGCTGGTGACAGTTTCTTTCAGGCGGACTGTGATGAGTGCGACGTTCTGCAAAAGGACCTGCTACATGATGATGATGCTGATGCCCAATCAAAAAAATTATCTGATGCAGATGTTACCTTGTCACCTCATTTATTGACACATTCTTACATATTATATACAGGTAAATAATGATCCAACCACATTTATCTTTAGCTTACTTTGTTAGCTACTGCATTCACAGATGGCCTGGCATCCATGATGTACAGCTTGTGAGACTGAGCATTTGTATCCATGATCATCTGTATGTATCGCTCATCATCCCTGTTGGTCTTGCTGGTCATTCCCACCAAAGGCTGTGACGACCTGGTGATGGTAGCCTGGCTTTCTGGGTGAATCCAGGACAAAGCCTACACAAGGATACAGATCAGCAAAGAAAACAAGGATACAGACCAGCAAGGATAACAAGGATACAGATCAGCACTGATAACAAGGATACAGATCAGCAAAGATAACAAGGATACAGATCAGCAAAGGTAATAAGGATACAGATCAGCAAAGGTAACAAAGATACAGATCAGCAAAGAAAACAAGGATACAGATCAGCAAAGAAAACAAGGATACAGATCAGCAAAGATAACAAGGATACAGATCAGCAAAGGTAACAAGGATGAAGATCAGCAAAGGTAACAAGGATACAGATCAGCAAAGAAAACAAGGATACAGATCAGCAAAGAAAACAAGGATACAGATCAGCAAAGGTAACAAGGATACAGATCAGCAAAATGTAACAAGGATTCAGATTAGCAAAGATATCAAGGATACAGATCAGCAAAGATAACAAGGATACAGATCAGCAAAGATAACAAGGATACAGATCAGCAAAGGTAACAAGGATACAGATCAGCAAAGATAACAAGGATACAGATCAGCAAAGATAACAAGGATACAGATCAGCAAAGATAACAAGGATACAGATCAGCACTGATAACAAGGATACAGATCAGCAAAGATAACAAGGATACAGATCAGCAAAGGTAATAAGGATACAGATCAGCAAAGGTAACAAGGATACAGATCAGCAAAGAAAACAAGGATACAGATCAGCAAAGAAAACAAGGATACAGATCAGCAAAGATACCAAGGATACAGATCAGCAAAGGTAACAAGGATGAAGATCAGCAAAGGTAACAAGGATACAGATCAGCAAAGAAAACAAGGATACAGATCAGCAAAGAAAACAAGGATACAGATCAGCAAAGGTAACAAGGATACAGATCAGCAAAGATAACAAGGATACAGATCAGCAAAGAAAACAAGGATACAGATCAGCAAGGATAACAAGGATACAGATCAGCACTGATAACAAGGATACAGATCAGCAAAGATAACAAGGATACAGATCAGCAAAGGTAATAAGGATACAGATCAGCAAAGGTAACAAGGATACAGATCAGCAAATAAAACAAGGATACAGATCAGCAAAGAAAACAAGGATACAGATCAGCAAAGATAACAAGGATACAGATCAGCAAAGGTAACAAGGATGAAGATCAGCAAAGGTAACAAGGATACAGATCAGCAAAGAAAACAAGGATACAGATCAGCAAAGATAACCTGGATTTGAAAAACAACCAAATAATACACAGCAAGCAAATAACAATCCACAGCCGTGTCAGGGAGCCACAGTAGCACAGTGGCTAGATGCTTGCCGGCTAGCCTAAAGATACTGGGTTGGAATTCATATTGTTGCAGATTTTCTTCAAAATTGACTTTGGTCTCAAGTTGATCCAGCCTAATATGGATACCAGGTAACATCCAGGAAAATCAGGCTGCTAGCATGATGCCAACCACATCCACACTGACTGACAATCAGTCTATTATATCATTAGGTCCTTCCCAATAGAGCCTAGGGCCTCTACCAACTCACAAACATCAGTCCTGAATAATAACGTAACAGCACTGAAAACCTCTCTAGGAAGAAACCTCCAGCAGCAGAATAGACCATCTACAACTTACAGGAAGTCTCTGTCTGCTTCTGAACTCAGCAACTTTCTGTAGATCCTGATCAGTGGCTTGTTTTGGTACAGCAAGCTGAAAATCATGAAATGATCTTGTTTCAATGACAGCTGAATGTTTCACTAGCATACAGGACCATGTTTAAATACTTTATTTGATCACGGTTCACTAATAGAATCATACTTCAATACTCTTTCACTAACTTATACCATCCGTCACACTGTGGACTTTGGGACCTACTTGTTGGAGAAAAACAATAGACCTGCTGCCCCTAGACAAACATGTCATAAAAAGTGACAAATGAAATCAATGCTGAATTCTTATGTGTTGGGCCTAAAGGCACAGATATTACAGCCTAGCTGTAAACCCTTTTAAAGGTGACGCAGAAGACAAAGTTTCATGTTTATATAAAATAACATGTTTAATTAACTTACAGTATCTGGTGTAATCACTATTTAATTGAATCTTTCACTGATTTACAGTATCATGTTTAATTAATGTACAGAAGAATGTTTCACTAACTTATGGTATAATGTTTTACTGACATACAGTCTCATGTTTCTTTGGTTCACATTATCATGTTTCACTGGAAAAGTATTACATTTAGAGATTTACATTATTAAGCTTTAAATTACCATCTAATTTCATATTTCAATGACTTAAAGTTTCACTAACATATATTTAAATGACAAACAGTACAAGGTCTCTCTGACATAAAGTATCATATAACAATGACACACATTATTATATACTATTTTACTATTATATATTAGACGTTCAGAATTTCATTAAACTATACTGTTAGTGACACAGATTTCATATTTGAATGAGATACAAAAAGCAGGTATCAATACTGTCTGCTGGTCTTTGTGTCTGTCCATCACTTTAATCTACCTGTCCTGATCTGGATCTCTGCTCATTTGTCTACATGATATTCAGAAAAAAAATGTGAAGAAGACACACAGCCTTGCAATACTGACTGGAATGGAAACAATTTAAATTCTTCCAAGTAGCTACATTTGCTACAAAATAGATAGATAGAAATGGGAACGTGTGATTTTAATCTACAATTTCACAAACTAGAGTAATATTTCTTAGAGGCACAAGCTCCCCTTGCTCAGACATGACAGTTATGATAGTCATGCCAACTTACCACTGCTGGGTAACTGTCACACAGCTGGTAATTTTCATTCACCTTGGTGATCCTCCAGCTTTCGTTTGGGACCCCCTGCGAATTTGTTAGAAACATAATATAAAAATGATTACACAAAATTATGATCATTTCTAGTAATCATGCTCATTCACTGTATTTAATAATCGGTTCATTTGATTTCTTTTATTCTATCCTTCAGTTTATTTTAACCCTTTGGAGATGGAGCCATTTTGGAGTTTCAGTGCCCAAGATGACAGAGCCTTCAGAAGAGGATTCTAGTAGTTTATACACAAAAAATTATTAAAAAATTAAACGTTTAATTAACATATACAAAACTAAATATATTCGTATAGGAAATTGAACGAACAAACAGAATATTTATGAATCAAACTTAAATCTCAACATTTATTCAAATTAACTATTCTGATTTGCATAATTTATGCATGAAATTTTTATAAAATTTGGAAACAAACATTACTAATCTGAAAAATGTGGGTGAATTTTTTGAATGGATGAAGCTTGAATATGTCTTAACACCTGCATTTTGGGAAGTAAGGCCCTTGGAGGCCCTTCAGACACATCTGGCACATGGTTCTACTGATTTTCCTGCCTTCAGCCATGTTTCAGTTGCTATGATGCAACAGTCTTTTTCGCTATTTTTGGGCACAGGTAACCCCCCCCCCCCCTTAAAAAAAACATTTGTTGTAAAATTACAGAATACATCAAACTTTCTCAAAAGCCGTCAATGAACAGCCCACAAGTGCAAGAAATAGTCTGATTGGCTGGTGCAAAAACCTGCCAACCAATTTAAGGTTTTTATTACTCAGAAAATGTAATGTTGCTTACTCACCATTCTTTTGAACTCTTTAACGGGATCAAAAATCTTCCAACCATTTTCCTGGCCATATTTTTCCTTGAACTCAAAAGCAAAGAAGTTCTGAAAAAGGATGAACACTTTCTAAGAAATGGACAAGGTTCAAAATCAAAGACTTTTCTATTATCAACAGTAGATAAAACATTTAACTTATATTTGCTAAGCGTCCTTCAAGTGACTGCATGTTGTGAGCCTAAAGTCGTCAGCAGAATTGGTAACATTTATGTCTAACATAGCATTTAGCCAGTCACCAGACTTTCTATGGTTGCCCCACATAGGCAGGACAATAATTCTGTGCAAAGTGAGATGAACAGTTAAAATGAAAATAGTTAATGTAAAAAATGCTTACACCTTAATCAAATTACAACATTGCTATCATGTCAAACCAAAGTCAATAGATTAATTTCTGAGGCAACATCTAAAATGAAATCAGAAGACATTAGAAATATTTGCTGGCTGCACTCAATGCCTCTGAATTGCCATTTGACAACTGTTGTCTATTTATTTTTATCTTGCTACTTTTATTCATCCAGTCTCCAGTGATCATGAAGTCTGTGATAAAATAGTGTTGTAAACAAATAAGTGTAAAGAAAACATTACTGATCATATATTCTTTAATATGACCTTGACTGACTTTCTACCCCACCAGGACATCACATAAGCGATAAACACCCGATGACACAATGTGCTACCATGTGGGTGAGGATCACCGTGGAGAGGTCCCAGAAACTGCGTTCAGCCATTAGGCCATATTTATGGCTGGGCTATATTGCAGCCCCTGGCATGAGCCAAAGTAGGGCTTCAAATAAAGAAAAATTGCATCCTAAAAAAGACGGCATGAATTTAATAGAAAAAAAAATACGATCTTCTGCCTTCATGCTGGCAAATACAGTTTCATCCTTTAAAAAAAGGCTATACTCTGAGAAAATGTATCTGCAGTATTGTTTTTAGTTCACCCACATAAAATATTAAAAGGGAAGTAGCTATATTACTACCCACATACAGGTAGCTAACCCTAAAAGGGAAGTAACTATATTACTACCCACATACTGGTAGCTAGCCCTAAAAGGGAAGTAACTATATTACTACCCACATAATGGTAGCTAACCCTAAAAGGAAAGTAACTATATTACTACCCACATACTGGTAGCTAACCCTAAAAGGGAAGTAACTATATTACTACCCACATACAGGTTACTAACCCTAAAAGGGAAGTAACTATATTACTACCCTCATACTGGTAGCTAACCCTAAAAGGGAAGTAACTATATTACTACACACATACTGGTAGCTAACCCTAAAAGGAAAGTAACTATATTACTACACACATACTGGTAGCTAACCATAAAAGGGAAGTAACTATATTACTACCCACATACAGGTAGCTAACCCTAAAAGGGAAGTAACTATATTACTACCCTCATACTGGTAGCTAACCCTAAAAGGAAAGTAACTATATTACTACCCTCATACTGGTAGCTAACCCTAAAAGGGAAGTAACTATATTACTACCCACATACTGGTATCTAGCCCTAAAAGGGAAGTAACTATATTACTACCCACATACAGGTAGCTAACCCTAAAAGGGAAGTAACTATATTACTACCCTCATACTGGTAGCTAACCCTAAAAGGGAAGTAACTATATTACTACCCACATACTGGTATCTAGCCCTAAAAGGGAAGTAACTATATTACTACCCACATACAGGTAGCTAACCCTAAAAGGGAAGTAACTATATTACTACCCTCATACTGGTAGCTAACCCTAAAAGGGAAGTAACTATATTACTGCTATATATATACTTTTCGTCCTTCTTAGGACGTTATTTTTTTGTTATTTGAAGCCCCACTCTGGCTTTTGCCAGGGGCCGCAATATACGCAGGTCATCATTATGGCCAAATGTCTGAACGCGGTTTCTGGGACCTCTCCACGGTGATCCTCATCCGCATGGTGGCACTTTGTGTCATCGGGTGTTTATCGCTTGTGTGATGTCCTGTGGGGTAAAAAATCCAATCCAACTATATTACTACCCACATACTGGTAGCTCGCCCTAAAAGGGAAGTAACTATATTACTACCCACATACAGGTAGCTAACCCTAAAAGGGAAGTAACTATATTACTACCCTCATACTGGTAGTTAACCCTAAAAGGGAAGTAACTATATTACTACCCACATACTGGTAGCTAGCCCTAAAAGGGAAGTAACTATATTACTACCCACATACTGGTAGCTAACCCTAAAAGGAAAGTAACTATATTACTACCCACATACTGGTAAATAACCCTAAAAGGGAAGTAACTATATTACTACCCACATACTGCCAGCCAACCCTGGTCTTGCTGTCTGTGCCTTCAGCAATGCTCCTTGCCAAAGACAGTGAGAACAAACATAACAAATGATCCTAGCTATCAGAAATACAAGCAGGTGCTCACCAGCTTATTGGTCAGAGGGAAGGCATACTGCTGAAGTTTTTCAAACACTTGTCGCCTGGAGTGATTTTCTTGCTTGTGGGCAAATCGCAAGTTGCGCATATCCTAAAACAACAACAATTAACAATAACAAGCGCAATATCAATATCAGATTACCAATAGAACAGGTCTAAATACTTGAGCCTAAGTCTTAAGTAAAAGTTAATAAGTCAAAGGTTACCATTTTAGGCTTGCATGGGTAAGTCACGGGTTCCCAGGAGTGACTAGTATAGAGTTAGCAGTCAAAGCAACAAGTAAGACTGGATAAGCCATAGTTTAATAATCTAAGTGTTGAGAGTGGCTAAATCATAGACTACCAGTCTAAGACTTAAGTATGAGTGGGTTAGTCAGTGATTACAAGACTAAAGCAGAGGTAAAGATTTGTTTGACTCCTAACGTAAGCAAGCTCACATTATGGGAATTATTAAGGGACTAAAAAATAAAGCACCAAAAATAGTAACAGGAAGAGCTATTACAGAACAAAACAGAAAAAAAAGTAGATTTTATAAATAATAAAAAAAATAAAAATACATGAAAACAATTAGATAAAGGTATGCTTAGCATGCAGGGGTGAGAACACTGAATCTGAAAAAAAAAAGAAGCAATTTTCAAAAGACAGATAAATGATCTAATCCCTGCAGCAAGATACTATGGCAGTAACAACTTAATTACATCACTTTTATTTTTGATCAGCTTGACTGCAGTAACCCCTACTCAGCCCCTTTCTGCATTCTGATTTTCATGTCGCACTGTGGCATCTTATTCATACATTTTAAATAAGGTAGCTAATACACAAAGTTAAACCATTTTACTTGAATAGTTCATGATTAATTTACACAACAATTATTTTAAATTAAATAAGACTCAACATCTACCTTGCACACAATATCAATTCCGTAGGAGTTGACACCTTTGCTTGTAGCACCGCCAATCTTTTCGATCTGACTAACAACACCAAGTGGTACATCCAGGACAAATGGTGGCTCCTAGCAAGATAAACACAGCAACAATATATTTACCACACTAATAAGAAAAAAAATGAACACTATACAGTTATGTGCCACTTAACCATGGGGTACAATGTCAGAAATGTAATTAGGCTGTTTTGACAGACTGGCCTCACTCCCAATCATGCCCCCTAAAAAACAAAAAATCAATTTATCAAAGAGAGATGGATGATCTAATCCCCAGAGCAAGATTTTATTTTAATGACAGCTAAAAAAAAAAAACTGTCAGTTTTTTTTTTTTATCAGCTTGACTGCAATAAGAGATCTGCTGAAATCAGATGTGATGGGCCAAAAGGCGCATATATTACAGTCGAGCTGTAAACACAATTTGCAAAATGCCCTTTAAAGAGCGAACACAGAAGAAGACATGAGTATTTATTAAATGATAATTTGTTCGATGTCCCCGGAAGATAAGGTTCTCATAACTTTCATATATGACACACAGGCATCTAACTGAATAAACTGTTTTTGTGTTGACATAAATTAGCTGATTTCTTTAGTCAAATGTTGTTTAGTTTAGATGGATAATGCATCAACTGGTGCAGTTGGTTGTTGGAAGAACAGAAGCATGGAGCTTGGTGTATGAAATAATGGACAGATCATTTGAAAGAATGGGTGAATGAATGGACAGGTTGGCTGAGAGATAGATAGAAAGGTAGAGTGAGAAAAAGAGAACAAGATTTCACGAGAAAGTAAAAAAGTCAATCCCAGAGCGCCTGTCTCACTAGGCACTAACATAATGCTAATGAGTTGGATTTCTTACTCTTTCCACACTCTTGAAGTACAGCTTGTAATTTGTGAAAGTAATCGTTCCTCTGACCGGGCCACTGTACGGACAAAGGTATGTGACATCACTTGCTGCAATGAACAAATAAATGTAATTATTTAAAAAAAAGGGCAGAAAATATCTAACTTGACAGATTTTGCATTTTCCTTTTCCCCGTGTGGATTCTAGGGCTCTTTTTTGGCTGGAAGAACATACCCACAAACAAGCACATTATAGAAGGCGAATAATTAAGATTGCTTCCTTTTAAGTCCCAGTGCATCTGACTGAGAGGCAAGGAACTAACAGTCTGCATTCAAATAAGCAAGATATGCCAAATGGATGTGTAATGAAAACTCAAGTTCTGGAGCAATAAAGTGGACAAACAACTAGACTTTTCTGCCGGAGTTTACAGCCAATGAATGTAAAGAAGAAGAACAATTATTTCTGAGACCGGCAAATGTTTTATTTTAACTTGTAACTTATTGAATTTTATGCAGTTGCTATTTTAAAGTGACAAATGTTTGGGTCTAATGAAGATCAGATAATGACATTATGAGAAGACCCTATCTACCCAGCTCAGCACAATATACTAGGGTAGAACCTGATGGGACTGCTATGGGTTGAGTTGCATCTTTACAGGACGATGCAGAACCAACACTAGCATTTTTTGGCTGTTGTGCTTTTTCAATGCATATTTTGTGTTCAGTACTTTCCCACTGCTTTCTGAATGGTCAGCTCTCTGTATCACTGTCGAAACCAATGCATGTTGTTTGCCTTTTTAAAATCTATTTTCGTCCATTTTAGGACAAATTTTTATTTTATTTGAAGCCCCACCCTGGCTTTTGCCAGGGGCCGCAATATAGGCAGGCCATAAATATAGCCAATTGTCTGAACGCGGTATCTGGGACCTCTCCACGGCAATCCTCATCCACATGGTGGCACTTTGTGTCATCGGGTGATGTCCTGGTGGGGTAGAAAGTCAGTCAGTAAGTCAGTTGAAACCAATGCAAGACACACCCTCTGCAGTTGGGATTGAACCTGGCACCCCAGAATTTCATTCAGTGCCCTGTCTGATTTAACACAGCATAAAAAAGTAAAGCAAACAAATGAATCTGGTCAAAACTGGCACACACATACATATAAGATACCAACACAAATTTCAGTCACTGCGCATAGTCCATCAAGCTGACTATTGTATTCTACTCCTTATATATAAATGGACAAAAACAATGTGAATAACCTTTTTATTACCCATCAGCAGAAAATAAAGTTTTGTTCATTAATCTTACTAGCTCTTTTAATTTTTCCTATCTCTTAATGTGGCCAAAAATAACGACACCCCAACTCTGGAATTTGTCATAATTCTTCTTCTTTGTTGTAAGTTTCCTGAAAACATTTATATATGTAATACAAGATACAAAACTAATGTCCTTCAATGAAATCTTAAAATATACAAGTACAAAAGGTCTTAAAACTATCGCCACAGCAACGCCAAAATAATGGGGCACGACTGCATGGAATTGCTGAAACAAATACTTAAACAAAAATAACATTTGACACAGGTTATTTTGTTTAAAATTTACTTATCTGTAATTAAAAATGTTGTTGTTGTTGAAGTATTTAAAGATATATAAAGGGAGTAGTCAATAAACACAGTGAAGAACTAAGCCGAACACATTTCCTCAAACCTAACCAAAATATATATCTGGTGACTTTTGTCGTGACCTTGTGACCAGTATCACTGAGGGGGCACAGATAAATTTGACACCATCTTTGCTTTACAAAAGCCACTTAATTCAAAGGGAAAGCATATTAAATGATAATATGCCTGTTATGCGGCACTTTTAGGGAATTTGTGGATTGCCATGGCAAAAAGGGTAAGGGAAAAACTGAATGCAGAAAACAATAAGTTGAAAAACTTAAAGGAATAAGGTGTCATGTATCTGAAATTATTACCTTTCCCTTTTATACTTTCTCCTTCTAGCAAAGGACAATCCTCATTCTGTACCATTTTTGTGGCTTCCCGCATCGTCTGCAAGGCATATAATGGAGTTAAAAGGAAATTGCAACATAATGTAGTTACCATGTAACAGAGTTAACATATAATGGAGCTGCAACACAATGAAGTTAAATGACAATGGAATTATAGTATCTTACAATTAGGTCACAATATAATGGAGTTACAGTAGAAAAAGAATAAAAATATAAAGGAGTTAGGCATTTTAGAACTGATGTGTGAAACATAAATTTTTGAGTAACAGTCACATAGTCACACAATACTGAATGCTGATATTTTGCAGGACATTTTCTGACTTCCCTGAAGATTATTTTGTGTGTATACTAAATGGCATAGTGGTTGCACTCTTTTCATAATAATATGTTACAGATCCCTATTAATGAGACAGACACCTTTTCTCGACGCTTCACTCAAAGGCTGTTCTAGCGTTACTCTGTCAAAAGTTTTTTTGTCTTTTTTATTTTTTTAATTTAATGCCAAGTGATTAATATTATAAGTTCTTTAGCAACTGTTTTAGTCCTTAATTTTTCTGATCCAACTTGATGACAGTTAGTTATTTCAGATGTGGGTGTCCAAAGTGTCCCATAGTAAGGTGCTCATTTTTTTGGGACACTTATTTTCATATTTCAACCCATTCCTTAACTTTATTGACATTATTGTCTAAATATGTGTATGACAATTTAGCCTTGTTTAATTAGATTTCTTTAAGTAGAAATGATTCTTTGCTGATTCTTTTATTTTAATTATTTTTCATTTTTACCTTATCAATGGGACCAACGTTGTCTTGCGGCTAGACGCTAGCCTTCGATTAGCAAGACTGTGGGTCCTGACAGAGCTAGACTTTTTTCAAAAAAGACCTTGGCTCCCACGCTGACCCAGTCTTGAATGGGTACCAGGTACAGTCCTGGGAAGTACAGGTGGCTGACGTAATGCTGATCACATCACCCACAGAGGGCAGATTGGTCTATAAAATATAAGTCTAGCCCTAATATGCCCAATAAGCCTGAAGGCATGGAAATGAGTCCTTTACTTTATTTACCTTAGGTTTAGGTCCAATGCACTTTTTATTTCAAATCTGTACATTGTTTTTCCACATGGAAAATTGTGTCTTTGATTTATTCATATGCTATCATTACTAAATTAATGATCTACTGTGGGATCCTATTGTCCTTCATCAATTTCCAAAAAAGATTCCTGATCAATACTGTCCAAGGCTTTTTCTTGTCTACAAATATAAAACAGCAAATTTATTCAAGTTTGACTTGAATTTTTAATTGTATTTGTAATTTATGGGAGCAGAGCATTTTCGCAGCAATGGACAAGAGCATTTTTTCTTCTACAGTCATCACATTTTTGCAGATCTCTTTTCTTTGTTTTTGACAACTGCACCAGATATACTTTCCCCTCTATAAATATTTTTTTAGTCTTCAAGATTCTGCTAAATGATGCTTTAAAGAAGTAAAGCTGCTAAACAAATAAACTGTTATACAGGCTGTGCTAAGATCAAGCAAATTTTCTTACCTTGGTGTCAAAGACAGGCATACTTTCTGAAGATGTTGAAGCTGAAGAACACACAGACTTTGATGGAGAACTTGCACTGTGTGATCCTTTAGAACTACTACTTGGTGAACTATGATGAAACCCCCGATCTGGAGACAGGACTGTTAGTGACAGAGACTCGATTGGTGTCTTAGCTTTTCCTCCTGGTACATCGTTTCCTTCTTTCCTATCCATTATAATAGCTTTATGATCTTTATCTCCTTATATTCTACAATGCTTATAATAAGGATTTTAGTGAAAAATTATGAATGAAGTCTAGGTTTAAAATCTAGCATACAGCATTACCTATGGAATAATATAAGAAAACATAGTACACAACATAACAGGCATATAAGATGCAATTTGCAGGTTGAAAGACACAAGCAGACAGTTTGATAAAACATCCCTTATGGTAAGCATCATTAGAAGCCACATAGTGATATTTAGACATTGCAATAATAGAATTTCTATCTGGGTCTATGTTTAATTTTCTTAATTAAAAAAAAATTTTTTTGGGGGAGACTGTTGTCATTACAGTAATGTATCTTCTTCTTCAGCGTTCTGAAGATGTAACTGTGATGTGCCTGCATGACTGTGATATTTGTTCTTTTTAGCCGACACACCAGACTTCTGCAGGCATTTGTTGATTGGGTTAGCCTTTCTGGTTAGCTTCCTGGGACACTGCAGTCCCATTTTTGTGTGGTAATTTTTGTTTTCCAGGTCAAAAGTAGAGCAATCATCAGGCCAGTCCAGAGAAGCCACATAATACTGGTCAGCCTTCAAAAGAAGGCAGGGGCAGAACATTAGCATTCCCAGCCATCCAAGGTTTCCATAAATGCAGAGCCAATACATGGTGCTTTGGTACTTGGCTCCCCAAGAAATCTATTTTTGTCCTGCTTATGACTGTTTAACTTTACTTTCATATATTGGACAGCTCATTCATCAGGGCTATGTCTTTAGAAGCCTGCAGTAGGCAGCCTGCAGACCTGGTGGCTTATGAACTTTGCATCTCTTTGGACTATCAACTCCAGGCTGTGCATATTGTTTTCTCTTCATTAGTAATGTTTCAAACTGTGAGTACAAGTGTACATGAATCCCACCTTATTGTATGGAAGTTTATGTGCTTTCTGAGACAAGCTTTTCAGTTTTACCCCTCCAGATTTGTACTATGTAGGATTAACATCTCAAGGATGAGAATCACACAGCTACCTATTCATGTAGGTACTGTGGTCCCAATATGAGAGGAAAACAGAATAGACCTACTGCCCTCCTATCAAGCATACCATAAAAATTGACTAATTAGGGATGTATACTTTGAAGTCGAAGGCATATGCCTCAGAGGTATACACATAAGACAGATCTGTAAAATCGACGTGCACGCAAAATTAAAGTTCTAGAACAAGACTTAAGTCTAGAAATGGATGAACAACCAGAACTTTTTGCCTGATTTTTAGCCGGTGAAGGCCAAGAAGATAAAACAGTGACAAATCCCAGAAACTCTATTTAACAGTATAGTCAAACACGACAGTCATAGTGGGACATCACAAAATGGTTACAAAGTAACATGTAGTCCAGTGTGGGTGGGTTGTGTGATAATGCTGACAACTGTATTCAGTCAACTTTTCATCACTTCACAACTTTAGGACACAATTAATTCACAAAAAATGACTGACCTACTGCCGCCTCTCCACTCCCTCCCCCACTACAAAGGCCAGGTCTCCTACCAAAGGTTTCGCGTTCTTGTGACTTAAACAGTCCCACCATAGGTTCCAACTGAACAAACCAAACTGGAAATGCAATTAAAAAAAAAAACTTCAATACTTTACTTTAAAATACTAATTAAATACCGTTCAAGTAACCTCCTAGGAAGTTATAATAGGGGCACTCCTAACGGTCACCAAGTATGTAAAGTACTAATCTGTTTTACCTTCCTGTCCATATAGGGTAAGAATGATGACGATCTGATATGATCAACAATAATAATAGGAATAACTTCCTGTTAAGTAATTAGTAAAAATAAAATTATTAAAATTAATAATTATTTTATTTTTAGCACAATCGATGCGCTCGATTCGACCTACGATACGGGCAAAGTATTTGGCAAATGTAAATTTGCGTCAATAAACTTCAACAATTACACTACGGCTAAGTCAAATATTGGCTGCATGACACACTAACTAATAACGTCCAAAAGGCATTACGAGGCTCACAGTCGTGAAGGATTCATCAAGTATTCGGTGAAGAAGTCCAGGGATTCTCTTCTGCTGCCAGCAGAGATGGAAACTGTTCTCCCCGCAGTGGAGATCTCTAGCAGAATCATTTCCGGATCACAAGTTGCTCACTCAAACACACAGATCTGACGGCGATCATTGTTTTTATTATTATCAGCATATTATGTAACCATTGCATATGTATTTTAAGCCGTTTCACGAAAAGTACTTCTTTTAGATTCGTACTTGATTATTTTGCATGAAAAGTTTTATTAATTAAGCAGGGAGCCATGCATTAAAAATAATGAGGATCATATCATCATCATGATTTCATTTTTATTAACAAATGTAGACCAATATCATAAAATCACAGAGCATATTTAATCAGTTCTTGGAAGGGGTTTCTTCTTCTTTAGACTACGATAATAATAACTGTCTACAACGGACTGAATTCTGCACTATTCAATTGTATTTAACAAATACTACATTCCTTTCAGTTACCACTGGACTGCCTTTGCTTTTGTATAATATACTTGATGATACATTGATTATATTTTTCCTTTAAAAAAAAAAGAACTTGGTTAGCCTTGCCACTGTCTCAGTATATTGTCATCATCATCATTACCTGTTGTGATCACAGGAGGTGCAGCCTGTGAAGTTCATTCATAGAAAAGTGACTATGTAAACAGGAGCGATGGAAGTCGAGCGATTATCCAGAAATGCGAAACACTGCACATACCGTGACTAGAGAGTTCAATATAGTAAAAGAAGATGCATGTTCTTCTTTCATGGATAGAGAAGTCAACATAATGTGTGCAAATGCAGATCAGGTACTAGCACACCTAACATCATATTTGATACACAGGATACTTTTTTCTACCAAGGCAAATCTATGTTGAACAATTGTTTGGCCAGCTCTATTCTACCAGTATCAAACATGTACTTTACTAAAACTGGTGAGGACAAAATAATTACAACAAAGATGTCTCATAATAGCTGCTAGAGCAGCAATAAAAGCTGACATTAAAAATAAAGAAATTAGAACAAGACTAAGACTGAAACCAGTCATCTAGTTCATTGATGAGCATCAAATGAGATGGTTTAGCCATCTGATGAGAATGTCTTGGTATGAACTACCACAGAGAACCATGCTGGAGAAATGCAATGAACACAGAGCAAAAGGAGGACCATGCAAAATATGACACATCAGCATCAGGAGCAGCCTTAACTCTTTGAGTCCTAAGGAACCCATCGTACATTAAAAGGTTCCTACCTAGAAGCCCAATGAACGCATGATGCGCTGATTTTATGACTGTTTACTACCCCATGGGCCTGTGATGTTAAACCCCCTGGGACTCAAAGAGTTAAAGAAATTAAGATCAGTTTTTGCCAGGCATTAGGGAGAGCACTCAGAAGATCTTGGTGTCTTCTCACAAACACCTTGATGAGGTAATTAAAGGAAAAGAGGAAGATGAAGAAGAAAAGCTTTCTAGTCATAGTTTGTGCTGTGTCAAGTTATTTTATTCATGGCAACTTTATGCACCTGGTTTGGCCTTGAAGGGATTACAAAATCAACAATAATTCCGTAAGGGCAGTGCCAACACATGTCCTTTTTCTGGGCTTACCCAAAGAATAGACATGTCTTGCCATGGCTGGGTAGTTTCACTTCTATGTATTGAAGCTCCTGGTAAATGTTTGCTCTGCATTTAGAATGTACCCTGTACTCTAGGTGAGACTACTGATGACTTCCAACAAAGAATGGTTACTATTTCACAGTGCATTTTCAGTGTCTCAGAAGGTGCCTTCCGTCAGATGTTTGAAGTGTTTGTGTGTGTGTGTTTTTTTTTTTTTTTAATAAACAAAACCGCTTGTATATCACGCTTGTGTTCTCAACACTCTGCTTTGTGGCAGGGAAACTTGGCCAACTTATTTGTACCAGTAGAAATTTCTAAATAGCTTTCACATGCGATGCCTAAGAAGAATACTTGGCATTAAGTGGCAAGACAAGATCACAAATACTGAGGTTTTGGAAAGAGCTGATACTACAACAGTCTTCTCATTGCTCAGTCTGTGAAGGCTCAGGGGACTGGGTCACACCTGGAATGTGAAGAAAAGCAGATTCCCTAAGGACATCCTCTCTGGTGAACTAAAGACGGGTAGAAGATGTCAATGTCAACCTATACAACGATATAAAGATATGCGCAAGCCGGACATGAACGATACAGGTACTGAGGTGGACTCAGAACAAAATGACATGGACCATGTTGTATGGACTGAGGAGGGGACTGAGAATGAAGGAAGAAATGGTTGCATAAAGGATGAGAGCTGAGCGTCTGAGAAGAAACAGAGTAAACACAAATGTTGACAACAGTGCTCCTAAAATCATATGCTGTAATTGTGGAAGACTTTTCTTAATGTGAGCGGGTCTTGCTAGTCACACTTGCCATTGCCATGGGCTGTGAGTTCCATGCCTCCTCATAGCACATTAAAACACTGTCGTCTGGAAAGAAGGAAAGGTGTCAGTCACACACACACAAATATATTTATATATATATATATGTAAATATACATACATATATATCTATCTATATACATACATATATATAACCCATTCTTTCATTTTTTCCCCCCAAAAATCTTAGCTGTGTTTTAATTGGTGCTCTTATAACATCTGATCATGCTACCTTTTTCCCATAAGTTAATATCTGCTCATAAATTGAAGATATAAATTAAACTCAAGTGCTAGATATCAGCAGCTGTAAAGAGGCATCCATTGCTGTGCTATTGATAACACATTATTTTCACATTTTCAGTAACCAACATCATCTGTATTCTTATTTCTTAACCTTATTATGATTTATTTCTCAGATTATAAAAAGAAACTGTTAAAAAAATGCATAATTGGAACTGAAAGTGAACACTTATCTTAGAGAAACACCACAGCAATTAGATGTTGGTCATATAGTGAGTATGCATATGCTACCA